CAATCAAGCTAAAGTATTTTTGTAACTCAGGCGTACCAATAGTGGTGGCGACGCCATATGGAACTACTCGTTGAGAGCTTTCTTCTCCAGCTCGTGTTCAGTTGATATGGGAATTGAGAAAAAGGAATTGTGCGACCATACTTTTGATCTGTCTCTGAGCGGCGGAGAACAATATTGAAGTATGATTGTTAAAACTATATTACACGCGCGCCGGAAAAGTAATAACACAACCAGCCAAATAAAAGCTCCTCCCTGGTGGCTCTTTGCCCTGCTGATAAAAATTCCAACTGATTGAAACAAGATAGCAACACATAACTCTGAAAGTGGTTGCTATATTGCATTCTGCCTCAAAGACCGCCATTTCTCTGGAACAAGACGGATTAATTTTCCCTCTGGCCGGTTGAATTAATTTCTGCAGACGCTCGGGGGTGAATTCGATATCGATCTCTTTCTCACCAGATCGGAATTGGCACACCAACTTATTGTTTTATCCTCGGGGCACTGCTATCACTTTCTCACAACTTTCAGCCCCTTTCTCTCTCTGATAGCTTTTGATTTACTCCTTTTAATTCATTCGGAAAGGAAGTGCGATAAAAATCTCTCCTCCGCGCGCTCCAATATAAATTACACGCCTGTTATACTCAAAGGCCCGCAGTGCAGCTCAAAAACGCTGTTGAAATTTCGCCCCGGTCCATTCAATACCCTCTGAGCCGATTTTCCACCATTTTTTTGCCAGCACCATTGAAAATCAATCTGACGGATTAAAAACTTGGCTGCTCTGCGTCGTCATTATTCCTTCATAATGGAGCCGGATTGGAAATCCTTTCACTGAATCTTTTCCCTTTTCCGACGGGCCGGTCTATTGATCGGACCAATAATAACACCAATTCATTTTCCGTGAACAATTTAATTCATCCATAAGTGAAATAAATACAAATTGGACTTCAAAAGATTCATGCTATTTTTCCTCACAAGCCAAACGAATGTGGTAAAAATATTAGAATTAATAAAAATATCATCAATGAAAATGAGTAAAATAAGTAAATTATTATTGGTGTTCATTTGTTCTCATTGTTGTAATAAAATTGTTTACATTCAATCATTGAAAAAGCTAATTGTTAATTGTTTGGATGAAAAAAAATGATTTTTTTTAATTGAAACTATTTTGTTTTGCTTATATTTTAGATAATAAACATTTTAAATTTTCTACTTGAAATGGTAGTAAAATGTAAAATATTTTTAGGAATATTTAATTTAATTTTGCTGAAATCAATAAGAGCTTTTGGGTTCCTCCTAATATTGAATCTACAAAAATAAAAAGTAGAACGTCATTTTTTTCAATTTTAACAAATACGTTAATTAAGTAAACAACCCAGCATTTACTCTGGAAAAATCCACTTCTTGCCTTTTAGATTTTTCTTCTCTGACTCTCAAAGTTGGCCGCAAACGCTGAGATGTCTTACATCTTCTTCTTCAAAAGTGCCTCGAGGCGCAAAAAAGTGCAGGCGTCTTTTCCGTCTGCATGGCGGGGTGCCGAAAAAGCTGCACCCTTGACACATGACGAGATGCGCCCTTGTGTAAAAAGTCTTTCCACCCGCAGCAAGGCGAACGATGCACTCGTGGCGGATGAAAAATTTCACGCGACACTGAAATATTTGCTAGGAGTGTCCCCGCAACGACCATAAATAAAGAAATAAAAAAAAAACTCGGACGAGTAATATAAATTTAATTTGACGCTGACTATGATTCATCGCGTGCCCGCCGGGACACTCTCGCCCGAAATCAATTTTCTCTCTCTCGGAATTTGTGTGAGTTTAAATTGGGCTGCAAAAGAGACTGGCAATGCGGCGCGTGTGTATTATTTGATATTCGCTGCACGTCCGTTTATGCGCTCTTGACTCTCTCGGCTAATTTTGATTAAGCCGCAGCGTTTGCCACTAATTAATTGAGCGGCAGTTCGCCCTCGGCCCCGTGGAAATATCTAATTTCAAAGATTAGTAGGCAGCCGGAGCACACCAAGCGTTCATTGATGTTGAACAAAATTAGCAGCTGCCTGCGGAAAAATGATATTTGACTTCTAATTAAGCTTGCTCAAATTCATTACCATTGGGATTTGTTTCAAATTATTCAATCATGTATATCAATTTCAATGTGCTAACTGATAATTTCAAATTGAAAGGTTTTTTGCTAATTCAAACTTTTTGCATTATTAAATTTGTATGTATTGATTCGTAAAAAATAAAATCAGAGGTGTTTGAATTGAAATTTAGCTTTTTCTTTATGAGTTCTTTAGTTCATTCATAGTTTTGAAAAAAAAAAAAACACCATCTTGCCATAAATTTCTTCTTTGGGCTGCAGCCGTAATTTATTACTGAGTTATTTTGTCAAATACAATTTTAAATTAACTCTAGATATACAATTCTCTTCCAAAATAAAATTACATATTATTAATTATATTAGATAAATTATAAAAATAAAAATAATAAATTTTATTTTAAAACATTTATAGTTAGAACTTGTAATAATATTTTATTGTTTTTATAATCTCATTTTTTTTTCAATTTACTTTAATACCATATCAATTGTGGAATGCGTTTAGTTGCGTTTATATAAAGATTGATAAAAAAAAAATTGTATTTTAGCTCACCGTTTTTCAAAGCTAGAAAATAAATAACCGTTTCTTATTTTCTTATTTAGTATTAAAATATATTTCGATTTAACAGTTATTTATTAGATGCTGACTCATTATCTGAACTACGTAATTGAATAATGACCTTCCAATAAGAGTATTTGAAAGATAACAAGCGTGATTTTTTTAGACAAAATTTATCACAGTTCAAACATTTATTTGAGAGAGATATTTTTGATTGCATTAGTTCTGAATTCTGAAAACTGAACCCCTTCAATTTTCAAAATTTTAAGAGGATTAAATTTTTTATCTCTTTCAGCATTGCAGATTTATGTCATGGAAAATAACATTATGTTTATGGTGACAGTAGAAAAGTAAACGCAACTTTGTCACATTCAACCTTCTAAAGTTAGTCGCGGTGCTATGCAAGAAAAAGCTCTTTCCACTTAACTTGATTGCACTCGCGAGTCCTTTGCGCGCATAACAATATCTTCCCCAGCAAAATGCATTTGTGCAGCCACTAGTCATATCTGCTCGGTCCATTCGGCGTCCTCGACCATTACGAGTCAAATGTCGCGGAAGGAAAATGAAAAACGGCGTTCCCGCAACTCTAAATGTAAAAGAGTCGAGTGGAAAAGTTTCGCTTTGCCTGGCCGTGTGGGCAGAGAATGCAATATGGTCCGGCGCCGGCGGTATTGCTTTGTTGCTCTTTATGAATGAATTGACCCGCAATGCAGCAGCCGCTGTGAGTGAGGCAAATTGTCCGCGAGGCCACTGGCCAGAAGTTTGCCCAAAACTGTACACAGTCATGCAAACGGAGAGCGCTCAATTCCACTTCGGCAACGCATATTAATGAGGAAGCGCGGGCCAGGCGAATACAGCGCACACTACCAACGTGTTTATCAAACGACCCGTGTTATCTGTCGGTAATCCCAATTTATGGTTTTTCGAGGATCCCCTGATTTAGCTCACACTTAAAATGGAACGTTAAATTTAATAGACTAATTTCAAAATTATATCCATAGCAATGAAATTGGTGGATTATACAAATTGTTTTCCATAATATTGGACAAACCATTTTTTATAATCTCAAGTCGAACTTCATGCCAACCAAAAATACGTACTATATTGTTAAAAGTAACACATGTCATCAAGGGAAAAAAGAAACATCATTTATTAACTTACTATGCAATATTTTCTTTTTTTTTGCCATAATAATTTAAATAAATAATATTAAAATATAATATATTAAAATTGTAAGTTTAAACATAAAACATTAGATTATTTTTCTTCGCAATTTGTTGGTAGTATTTCTTAAATGATTATTCAATTATATCTTTTATCTCAAAATTAAGAAAATTTATACACTAAAAGTTCATGAAACTTCCAGAGGTTATCAATTTTCCTCACTTGTGATAAAATAAATTGAACATGAATTAAATTTCAATGTACCTTCCGTCACCAACGTTAAGACCAAATGAGTTTGTGCAGAAATTTATATTTTTTCTTGCCGCCGGTTGTGAAGATAAAATTGTCGTGATGAAAATTCCAAGGCAGCGGTCGTATTTAAGCATTTCTCTCTCCGCAGGCCAAAAACCACTGCGCGACTTTGTATCTAGGAGGGAAAATGCGGGGCGCGCAGAAATTGGCGCCGAGTGTTGCTCTTTAATGCATGCATGTGTAGTGGCGAAAAAATATATATGAGAAAAATGCCATCATCTAGCTGCGTTGGCGCAAATGCCAAGAAAAGAGGCAGCGGCACACAACACATTATTTGCCTCCCTCGGGACGTCTCTTTTTTTCTCTTCCTCCCTGCAGAAAAAAAAACATTTTTTGGCTCGGCCGTGGGCGCGCGTCGCACCGCGTATTGAATTTAGATTTGAGAGGAATGGCACGTGAAATGATTGAATCCGATGCAAATTTCTGCTGATTTTATCATCTCACGTCTTGCCTTGACGGAAAAATGCGAGCGCGCAACAATAACGGCGAAACTACTTTTCCAGCACAAGGGGTCTTTTTCGCTCCAAGCAATTTTGCACCCCGATCTCGATCGTTTTTTTTTTAACTTCAGAACGTGGTGAAAGCGATTTAATACTCGCGAATGCATAACAACATTGCGCACACAAAGGGTCCTCTTCATTATTTGAATCTCTCTTCATGGGTCTAACGGTGCTTTCAGAAAGCGCACCATCTGAGGGATGCAACCCTTGATAGAAAAGGCAGCGCCGTGGGACTCAATGCCATCTTCTTGCCACCCCGGAAACTGCCGCTCACATTTTCCGCGTCAAAAACCAGCACTGATCTCCATAACGTGCCATCATACAACAAACTAATTTGTTTAATTGTTTTCCTTGAGTAAAAATCATGCCACTTCAGAAAAGAAAGCTTTTTTTTATTCGTTCACATCAAGATCCAGACTAGTTATAGTATATTAAATTCAACAAATTATTGTAGCCAAAATTTGCTTCATACATTTACACACAAAACTTTTTTACTTAAAATAGTTTTCATTTTCAGCAGTTTATTCCAAAATAAATATATATTCTTTTTTTAATACACGCTCACATTTAATCTTACAATCCAACAGATAAAAGAGTTGAACGATGCCCATATATTTAAATATTACCGTTACAAATTAATTATGAACTTAGGTGTTATTTTTAGCGTTGAGTCCGTTGAGTAAATCTAGTTATTTTTCCTTGAGGAGAATTTGCTGTTGTCAGGGAAGGCGTTCCTGACAGGGATCAAGCTCAGCATCATCAGATGCCTATTGTACGCTTGAGTGCTGCGAAACAGGGTGTCTGTGCCGTGCAGACGGTCCAAAATTCCCAAAACTCCAAAGCACTGATTGAATCTGCAGAAAAATAATTGTAATGGAAATTATATTAGAAAAATTAAATATTTTACTTCAGGTGGTGAAAATCGTGGGCCTCAGGTGACGGGAAGAAAGGCAGGTGGTATCCTGAGTGAGCATTCAGGGTGGAGAGGATTGCCAGGCAAAACCAGAGCCAAGAAGTGGCCAGGTGCGAGCCGAGGATGAACACGCCGAGAAAGGGTGGCACCAGATTTGAGAAAATGTGCTCAATCGGGTGGCAGTAAATGGCAGTCACTGCAATCGGCGCAGTCCACTCGTGGTGCTTCTTGTGGATAATTTTGTAAAGGTGCTTGCTATGAAGCAACCTGAGTAGGAAATGCTTGTTAATAAAAATATTTTTTTTTAACATTTCGCAATTACCTGTGAGAATAGTAAAACCCAAACTCTTCAATTAAAATTAGGAATGCCATTTCAGCAAGCACCCAGTGGAAGGTCGGAAGTTCCCTGAGTGGCGGATAGCCCCTCCACTCCATCAGGGCAAAGCTGAAGTATGCAGTTGGGATGCCCACTGCCAGTTGGTTGAACAAAACTTGGCTCAAAACCTACATTATGCAATGAAAATTAAATATATTATCATATGGATCTATTTTGTCATTTTCAAATAAAGGTTATTTTATTTTATTTTACCTTCAGCAACCTTGTCGTTTCCACAGGCTCATTGGTCCCTGGCTGGATTTTGTATTTCCGCAGGCAACTAGGCCTGTTGGTGACGTCAAGCAAAGTGTAGAGTCCTCCGACCAGCCAATAAACGGCCATGGTGAGGAAAGTTGTGCCGAAAACCCAAAAACCGCGTGGGTCTTCGCCAAATGTGTCCAAAATGAAGTCCCACTGTGATTGCCAAAAGTCTCCTGAGGCTCCCCAAAAGCGTTGCAGGTGCCTATTGCGTTAAAAACATTAGATTAATTATCATTTCATTTCTTTTAAACATGTTTTTTTTAATTAATTTTAATTAAGAAATTATGTGTGTACTTTGTTTGACTGTCTTCACATGTCACGAGATGAATCACAGATCATCAACCACATATGACCTTATCTAATTATTATTGATAATTTAAAACCAGCTTTATTCCCTTAAAAAAATTTAGATGCAGTAAAAAACATAAATCAGCCACTTATGGTCAGGTTTACAGCATAATTAAATTTGAGTTGATCTTCATTCTCTTACAGAGAAAAACAATTATTTGATGCTGCTGCACGGGATTTTTCTAATTTAATATTTAATTTCTTTTAATTTTCACCAAAACAATAACAAAGCATTGTAAAGACGAACTGACAATTTATTTGTGTAGCAATTTGCCAGATTATTTAATTGTCAGTTTGACATTGGCCGATTTAAAAGTTAGCAATTTTCAATATAAGGTATCGGGATAAAATTTTGATTTTTATAATTAAAAATTGTACATAATTGCGTAAATATATGAGCAAGGAAATGTGTATCATTACCATGTGAGAGTATTGCGGAACGCTGCGAAGAATATGAGAGCAGTGCTGATGACGGCTAGGAGAGAGCCAAGGGAGGCCAACAGACTGGGCGGCTGGTGGGCCACTTTGGATTTGGCCTCGGCGGCGCACGAAGACATTTTTCGGACGGAGAGTGCTGCAAATTGAAACAAATTCAGACTTACTTGATTGAAATCTATTTTTAGTTTTGGAACAAAAAAAAAGAAGAAGCGCTCGCTCTACATAGAGCGCAACTGTGAGCCGCGTTGGTTAGGTTAAGAGTTTGTTTGTTTATTCAAAGTCGTCACTTCGACGCTACTCTTGTTATAACAGGTGCTTCAAGCTTCAAGAAGAATAATACATTCATGGAAGTTACTAACGGTTCTTTACACTGCAAAGAATTTTTTAACAATTAAAATATTTTCAAGAGACGTTGCAGGTTTTTTTTCTGCCAACACTAAAATAGCATTTTTGCATATAGCTCCCGAAACCAAGGACATTAGAAGAAAAAATTGAAGGTGACATTCGTCTAAAAAATCTTTAAAAAGAAAAAAAAATACTTCGCACATATCATAAATTTAAAACGTAGGAACGACAAGATTAGATAAAAATAGGTCAAGTTCAAGATCGTGCTCTTGAGTGAAAACGAAAAGTACCTGCCAAGTTTCGCGCCCTGGCGAAAAAATTGCGGAACAAGTGCATGTTGTTTGTCACGCGCGTCCCTCGCAAGAGCTACACTTTATCTGGTCCTGCTCGCAAGTGCGTCTGCACCGATCACATAATTGTTTTCGCAGTCCTCGCGTTGCTTTCTGCGAACCAAGTGGCCGCGCGAGTCAGCAACCGACTGCGTTCTCCGCCGCTCGCTCTTTACGTAATAGGCTCTCGTCCCGCTGGTCCCTGTCCGCCGCCACGGGAGTCAATGACCAAGCGAAAAACCCATCACCGAGTTGCCGCGGCAATAAACAGCCTCACCGCTGGTGCGCATATTTTTTTTCAGGGCCTCGCTGCCGGTGTGTGGAAATAAGGTGCGTGCTCGCGGTTTTCGTTTCGCGCCTCAAGAGTCACGAATGCCAAAAATTACATGCTTTAAAAAGTTATTTCCGGCCAATTGCCTTATTTGCAGGCTTCTCAAAAAATATGCTTTGGAAGTTTTGATGTTCTATAAGTTTGCGTTAATTTTGTTTCACTTTTCAAGTTGCATACAACTTGTTGCGTGCATTTTAAGTTGCAGAATTGCAATTCAGTTAGTTGAATTCTGTCAAGTAATAATTTTTATTTCAGTGGGAGGACAAAATGAGTTTAGACTTTTAAATCAGGTATTTTTAAGTTAGTTGCATATTTTTTTCTATTTAAATTATTTAATTTTTAAGAGAAACAAATATTATAATTTAAATTGTTAAATTTTGTTATAAAACAAAAATTGGCAATTTATGATTTTTTAAAAAAAAGCATAATGTTATGTTAAAACAATTAAAATAAAAATATCAAAAATATAAATTTAATACATAATATATATGTTTTTTTTTCTACAAATTTGCATATATTTTTGTTTTACTTCAAATTTATATTATTGGAAACTCTTTTAAATAAAAAAGATAAATTAATATTTTCTGACCTTATTAATTGCGTATTTCATTATTTCCATTTCAAAATTTTTACCACAATTTATCCTACTTTTTGATCACGATGAAATTACCCTCAATCGCATTATTATAATATAAATATTTCAGTAGGTCAATTTAGTTGTCCCGCAGCACTTAATCATCATTTCATTTCCTCAGTATTTGCTGCGAAAGCTTCCTGCCTCTTGCGCCAACATTGACAAAGCGACCACAACTTTTTATAATGTATCAAATGTATGGCAAAAGTCGTGTATGGATATCGACGACGAATTGCGCAGTAAGCGCCCTGAGCCCTTCAATCAAGATTTCCGTTCCGAACGCACATCCCAGCCGCTACGTATGACAATCAATTTCTACTCCGCGATTATCCCATTGGCATACAAATGAAAGCTTTGCAGCAATTAATAGAGAAATAACAAATAAAAAGTTGTGTTACGTAAAGCTCATTGTGAATCGTTTAAAAAAGTTGATAAAAAAGGAGAAGAACAAAAGGCGAGCGCTGAAAGGAGAATGACAAAGGCAGGAGAATTTCTCACGCCTCATTTTGTCGCTTGCATACCTGTCAGGGTCGCTCAGGTGTATAGTGGCGGAGGATCCCTGGCGAGCTAATTGGTGACCTTGGTGTCGTTCGTCATTTGGGGAAACAACGCGTCACTTGCCGATAAGCTACTCCATCCATTCGGTCAAAACTTTTCTGGCGACAGGTCGAAGGTTCAGGGTGAATGTGCGGCAAATCGTGGAGGAGCCGCTCTGTGGGTCGCAGCAGAGACGGGCGCACTCTGTTTTGGCTTGAGAGACGCGACTCTCGTACTCTCTGGGCGGTATTGATTTTTGCACGAACAGGCGCGCAATTGCACTCACACAGTGACTTCGTTAGGAAGCTTTCCCGACTACAGAAAGGGGCGAAAGGGTTAAATGTCAAACGGCGTTCTTTTGTGTGATATAATTGGACTGCCTCTACTCTGAATAATTATAAAAAGTGGAACTAAATCGATTTTTCTGCAGCTAATTACGTGACAAAAGTTTTCAAAATATTAAATTTGAGCAAAATAAAAGAGTCTAGTTTAAAAAAAATATTCTTTTTGCTCTTTGATTTCAGGTTCAAATACTATTGAAACAAAAGTTTATTATTAAAATTGATCTATTAGCGTCGCAACATTACAATAATAGTCTTAGGCGAAAAATATTGCTCAAAGCGTTCACATTCACATGATATTGTCGGATAGCACTACTACACCGATCTCGGTCGATTGATTGCTTGATTGATAAGTTGGTTTGATAAAACCGGCTGAGAATAGTTGCCCTTGTGAGCTGCGCCGTTGTTTCATTGGTACTCAAAATATACAATATATAATACGAGAATAGCTAAAAATAATATATACGCGAGTCTTCTAGAATAAAAATACAGTCTGGAATGCATCGGGCAAAAGGCTCACAGCACCGCACACAGTTTTCTCTCCGTCACAGGTGCATGACTGCGCTGTCGTCCGCACTGTTGTTTTTCGTCTCATCCTGCACCATTCCGGTCAGGTCGACGATCTCGTCCTGGTCAAAGGGGTCGTTGTCTGACTCTGTGGCCACTGAGTGGGCAGAGTCGGAGGACAGTTGGGAGGTTCTTGAAAAGGAGCCCCTTCGCGGCGGCAGGGTCTGGTACGGCCTTGGCTGATTTGCTGGTTTCACGGTGATGATCAGGTTGCTGCTGTTGGCCACCATCATGTCCGTCACTTGGTCCAGTGTCTTTCCGCTGACCTCGATTCCGTTGACTTCGAGCACCTCGTCATTGACCGCCAGCAGACCTGTGCTCTCAGCCAGGCCGCCAGGAACCAGTCTTGATATGAAAATGCCTGGAACTTTCTCCAGGCCTGATGGGGTCACTCGAACAGACGTCCCGTCTCGTATGTAGAACCCTAAGGGTTTGTCCGAGCCGTGCTTCAAAAGGCGCACTCTTCTGCAAGTGTCGGGCACCACATCGACATCAATTATTTGAGATACCTGCCGGAAATCAAGAAAAATGTATAATTAGAAATCGCAAAATTTCAATTAATATGGACAGCGTAAAAATTACCAATAATTCAGGTTTTGTAAGGAATAGGAAGTTAATTTACCTGTCTGAAGTCGTGGGGGTTTGATATAGCGAGGTGTGCCCTGGGCTTTGGGGTGCCCAACAGGTGGGAAATGAGGTTCTTTGTTTTGTTGGTGCCATAGCCGTTGAACTCTTCCAGGGACTCGCCCTTGCGCTGCACGAGGACCCTGAGTAGTGGCCTCGCACTTTTCAGGGCTCGGCCGTAATTCTCGTCGTTGTTGATGGGCAGCAGATCGCCGTCGCGAGGGTCTGTGTAGCTGATAAGGAACGGTTCGCTGCCCAGGGCGTGAAGTTTCTCCAGAAGCACCCTGAAGGACTCGTACGTTTGCGCCTCATTCCTGTTGACGCAAAAGCGGCGGAACTCGGCGTCGAATTTGCTCTTCACTTCCACCGCGTCGCTCTCCGGTTTTACGCTCGTTTTGTAGTTTTTCGACATTCTTCTCGCGAAAGGAAAACACGGACTAAAAAGGATTACGAACTGAGCGGATAATGAGTTTACCAAATTACGTCACGGGAAAATGAAATACCGAAAGTGCCAACGTGACGGAGTTCAAGGCTGAGTCGAATCCATCTTGTTTTGTAGCCAAGAGCAAGAGTTAATAATTCTTTATTATCATATTTTAAAAAATATTTAAATAATTGATAAATATACAAAAAAGGGTTGATAATTTTCATAAATTACTATTTTTGTCTAGCATTTCTTCTGTGCGTTTGGTAGTCAGCCTGATTCTTTGGATGTAAATAAAATACAGTGGCACGCCCTCTTTCGCCTTGCACGGCTTCTCAGAAAAGTGATCGAGGAGGCGAATGAAATTTTAAATTTTATCCCTTCGCGTTGTTAATTCCTTGACGAGATTTAAATTTTCACTCTGTTTATATGTTCATTTAATTAATCTAAGAATTTTAAAATAATCTGTTTTGCCATGGCCTCTCAAAATGCTCAAACGCCAAGGATCATACCTCCTCACGTTGTCCTTTTCAACGACAATATTTATACAAAATCATTTACTCCTAAGGAATACCAAGTATGCTGTTTTCGATTTAAATCTCTATTTATTAATCTTATCGGTCTGTTTCAAAGGTGGAGCTTCTTGATGTAGCAGAGGTGAAGGACATAATTATTTGCTTGTTGAATCGGGCGGCCCAAAATTTTGTGACACTACAAGTTGTCAACAGTTTTGCGAGTTATCATGACTCGTAAGCACCCAAAAATTACGCAATCCAACAATAATACAATACATTATTAATTTTCAGCAAGAAGCTATGCGTGATAATTATGGACGATCCAAGCTGCGCAAACCAATGTTTCCAGGATGTATCAGATTTCACATCCCTTCCTGTGTACACCTTAAAAGAATCAACTGAAGTCGGCGATGCAAGGGTATTGAATCTATGAAATTCAATAGAAGATTGAATGATTATTTTTTAATTATTAGGTTATAGTTACAACAAGTCAAAGGTTCCTCGAGCTCTTGGAAAAAGAAATTCTAGCTCCAGATTCCATTCAGCTTCTTGTCGTGGATCAGTGCCATTTGTCAATTAAAGAAGAAACTGACATAGCTAAAGTTATGCAAAAAGTCAATGCCTTTGCCACTAGGCCAAGGATACTGGGCCTAACAACGTCTTTGTTAGATGACAAAGTGAAGTGTAAAGATCCGGCCCAGCTGGAGGCGCAAATAGCTCTACTTGAGTCGAAAATGCAGTGTCAAGTTGAAACAGCAAGTGACATCTTATCCATTTTAAGGTTTTAGTTTTTTATTTTGCATTAAAAGGATGATTGATATCAAATTTTTTTTTAATTTGGCAGATTTTATCCTCGACCACATGAATCTATTGTTGAATCCTCAACACCTAAAACGGCCTGTTCCCTTTCGTCTGAGATCAATCGGTTGATTGATGAAGCCAGAGTGTTTCTATCGGACCATGTATACGATTTGGCATCTGTTTATGGTGATTTCATAGAAGAGTTGGAGGAAATTGGAGATCCCAGGTCACTCCCTATGTCAGTTCTAGACGATCTTCAATATGTCGTTGATACTATGGGTACAATTCACTAACATTGCCTAGTAATTTTTAAAACTAATTTTCAAAATCAGGTGCTTGGTGTGCTGACCGTGCAGCTTTTGTTCTCCTAATTAGAGTGGAGAATCTCAAAGTGAAGACAAAATACGAGCGTCACTACATTCTTCTGTGCATGATCTCCACCTTACTTATCAAAGTTCGAGCCCTCTGTGATAGCGAATTCCAGCAGTACAACGAATGTGAAACCATACAAAAGTTTTCCAGTCACAAAATCCTGAGACTCATTGAAATTCTGTCACATTACAAAGACAAACCAGCGGAAAAACAAGAGAAGGCTCCGGATGAAGCAACAGAACCATCGAGCCCTGCAGAAACAGATTCTAGTCAGCCAAAAACTGAAGATAAGGTAGCTAAAGAAAAAGGGCCCAGGCGAGGTCGACCCGGTTTCAGAGGATCTCCCAAGAAGTTCAAACGGACACCCCAGATCATGCTTCCTCTTCCAGGAGAGGCTGAGCCTCTTTGCGGGCTGGTGTTTGTGTCCAGACGGTTCACTGCACAAGTTTTGTACAATCTTTTGAATGCAGCCAGAAATGCCATGCCGGCCTTGGCATCGATTGTGCCACAGTACACAGCTTCCCTGGCTGAGGAAGGCGAACAAGTCAAAGATTTGGAGAAGGAGCACAGGAAGCAAGAAGAAGTGCTAAAGAGGTTAAAGAAAAATGAATATAAACCTTACAGAAATTGATTTATGTCTTGTAAAATTTGATAGGTTCCGATTAAGAGAGTGCAACCTGCTGGTCTGCACTCCTGTCGTTGAAGAAAGCGTGGAGCTGCCTAAGTGCAACTTGGTAATTCGGTTTGATCCTCCTTCAAGTTTCAAATCAATGGTCCAGTCAAGAGGCAGGGCCAAGGTCACCAATGCTTATTATCTCACAATTGTGGACACCAATAAAACTAGGGAATACGTTGATCAGTGGGCCAAAGCTATTAGTCTAGAAAAGGCAAATTTTTATTCTAGTTCATTTTTTTCTTTTTTCTAATGTAAGAAATTAGCTCTTTCTTTCGAGATGCCACAACAGTGAGCCATCGGAGGAAGACGAAAACAAGGCAGACCAGTTGTGTTCTTTGGTGCCTCCTTTTAATCCCAGTGGAGATCCATCTCGAGCTTCTGTTGCTACCTGCGGTGCTATGGCCTTGGTGAATAGGTATTTAATTTCATCTTGAATTAAGTGTTGAGGTTGTATTTATTTTACATAAAAGGTATTGTGCAAAATTACCTTCAGACACCTTCACTCGGCTGACTCCTCTTTGGTGTTACGAAAACATAGATGGCAAAGTGAGATGTCGGCTGAGACTACCGATCAACTCGCCGTTCAAAAAGGAAGTTGTCGGTGCCTTGACAGTCTCAAAGTCTTTTGCAAGACGCTTGGCTGCTCTGGAACTTTGCAAGTGCCTCTTTCAAATGGGGGAGCTTGACCAGGACCTTCAGCCTGTTGGAAAGGAGACTTTCTTAGCTCAGGAGCAGGAAAAGCTCGGACTCAACACTGAGGAGGAAATTGCAGAAGAGGAGGAAGAAGATGATGGTGTTCTGGAATATAGGCCAGGAACAACAAAACGAAGGCAGTATTATTTCAAAAAGGTGAGGAGTTGCCATTCTTTGAAATAATTATCTGAGCATTTTTCATGAAAAGGTTGCCGATGCGCTCATGGAGTGCCGACCTGAGCCGTGCCAAGGCGCTTATCTTTACTTCATCAACTTAAAACTGAGTTGCCCACTGCCAGAAGAGCAAAACACTCGAGGGAGGAAAATTTACCCACCGGAAGAAGCGCCAAAAGGTTTTGGAATTCTCACTCTGAAACCCATTCCTAAGGTAAAACATAATAGGCCTCTAATTGTAACAGTAAAAATTTTTATTTTCCTTAAATTTCCAGATTTGTCCTTTCCCCATCTTTACCAGATCAGGAGAAGTGAGTGTATCACTTGACATCTGTCCAGACAAAGTGGAGCTGACATCGGAGCAAAGCGAGAAAGTTGTTGCATTCTTGAATTACACCTTCTCCAGTGTACTGAGACTTCAAAAGCACTTGATGATATTTAGTCCAGAATCGGCAGAGAACTCGTACTACATTGTACCAGTGAAAAAGAAGCCTCGGCTTCAAGTGGACTGGGAATTTTTGGATCTGATTTGGGAGCAGAAGGACCTTCTTCCAAGTGAAATTATCGAAGAAGAGAGAACAAAATTTGTTTTCAATGGTGGAAAGTACCAGGATGCGGTTGTGATGCCTTGGTACAGGAATCAAGATCAACCCCAAGTAAGCAAAATTTCATTTGGAATTATGTTCTTTCTCTAATTTGGTCAAATTACAGTATTTTTACGTAGCTGAAATTTGCTCGAATCTTTCACCTACATCCGAGTTCCCTGGGGAAGACTACAATACCTTCCAAGATTATTATTTGGCAAAATATGGGTTGAAAATTCAGTGTGTTGACCAACCACTGTTGGATGTTGACCACACATCGGCACGGCTCAATTTTCTCACTCCCAGGTTTGAAAAATCTGTATATTTTGATGCAAAGGTTTCAATTTCCATTAAAATCTAGGTATGTGAATCGCAAAGGAGTTGCCCTTCCCGTCAGCAGCGAGCACACAAAGCGTAATAAGAGGGAAAACTTGGAGCAAAAGCAGATCTTAGTTGCTGAACTCTGCACACTTCACCCCTTTCCAGCTTCATTGTGGAGACAAGCAGTTTGCTTGCCATGTATTTTGTACAGGTATAATTCTCATATAAATGGTGCCACGACTGATTTCAAATTTTCTCAGGGTTAACGGCTTGTTATTGGCTGATGAGCTCCGATGCAAAGTGGCAACAGACATAAATTTAGGTTTCAAAAAGCTGCCCATTGAATTTTACTGGCAACCTCTAGATTTTGGATGGAGCTTGGCTGACGTTTTGCAGAAGTCACGAGAGGCTCAGAAGAATGAGCTTAATGTTGAAGAAGTTGAAGTCAAGGTTGAGACACCTGTGCAGTTGGAAAAAATAAAGCCCAAAGAGGAAAAGGTGGAAGAAGAGACTGAGGTCAAAGGAAAAGGAAAGTCGTGGCTAGAAATTGGAACTTGGTCCAATGAAATGGTGCCTCCTGATCACGACGACGATGATTGCGACAGTATTACGGACGACATGATTTCCGATGACCTGCCATCTAACCTGACTATGCTTTCTGGAGGTGAAACTATAATAGATGGACCGGTGGGAGAAGACTGGGGCACTGGCATCCAAAGTCACAGTAAGGTTAGATATGGGTCACCGACAATTATGCCGAGCCAAAGTAGCATCATTGACGGAGGGTTCGGAAGCTTCAACTCTTATTCGGACTACAATTCCGAGGAAGAATTCTCTGATTTGTCCGATGAGGTTGATTATGCTATGGAGCAAGAGACGACCCAGTCTGTCCACCCTGATGGATTAAGAATTGAGTTCAAAGGAGATCACGTTGCTGAAGCTTTTGATGATGGACCAACTTTTGTGATGCCAAGTGAGGTTATCGCAGAGCCTGAAGACAGTTTCTTATGGGATTGGCCAGACTTGGGTGACAACTGGGAAGATATCAAATTGAGATATGAAGAAATGGTGGTCATGCATCAAGAGCGAATCATGGACAGCAAAAAATATCTGCATCACAAGGAAGAAATCAAGATTGAACGGAAAGTGATGGACTACGGGCCTGAGAAGATTCATCGGCACCATGAAACTGATATTTCTCCTGAATCTTTGAAGGATGAAATGGTTGAAAACAGTGGCGCAATTGATAATGAAGAGACTTCCGAGAAGGTTGGTGCTACACCAAGAGAAAATATTGGAGAAATTCACGACGAAACAACTGCCAAAAAATTGAGTATGCAACTTAGGTATGGTTTTAAAACCATTCTTACAATTTATCGCCAGATTTCAGATTTGATTCTCAGCCTGATTTGGAAAACCACCCAGGGCCTAGTCCAAGCATAATACTCCAAGCGCTTACCATGTCCAATGCCAATGATGGAATCAACTTGGAAAGATTAGAGACTATTGGAGATTCGTTTTTGAAATACGCCATAACAACCTATCTGTATTGCTCCCACGAGAATATCCATGAGGGGAAATTGAGTCACCTGCGCTCCAAGCAGGTTAATTTAAAAAGCTTGAGCTACTTTCCAGTCTAAAAACTTGATAATAGGTGAGCAATCTCCAACTGTACCGCTTAGGACGAGAAAAGCAGCTGGGCAGATCCATGATTGCAACTAAATTTGAGCCCCACGACAACTGGCTGCCTCCTTGCTACTATGTTCCCTGGAAACTTGAGAAAGCGCTAATTAAAGCTGGAGTTCCACCAGGGTTGTGGAACCGACAGGAGCTTGCGTCTCTTCGACACTTAGATAATGAAACTATAGATAAGTAAGGATGAAAATTCCAATATTTTATAGATTATGAACTCCCTGTTTTTCAGAATTGTTTGGGAGAGAAAGAATGAGCTCGATTCGGCTCCTCTCGATGACCCTGCCAGCTCTGAGCACCTCCTTCCCTTTGTGCCATACAATTTGCTAACACAGCACTCGATTCCTGACAAGAGCCTAGCTGATTGTGTTGAAGCGCTTATCGGCGCCTATTTGATTGCATGTGGCCCTCGAGGTGCTTTACTTTTCATGTCCTGGCTTGGAATTCGTGTTCTGCCTAAGGCTGTAGCTTCTGATAATAGCCAGGTAAATGAGCAAAAAATTAAATAAAAAATTGCCATAATTTTTCTTCTATTATAATCGCAGCAATACGGCAAGTTAAAGCCACCTCAGTCCCCTTTATTGCGGAATGTTCCAAATCCTAAAGGAGAACTGGAAAAGATGCTGTATGGATTTGAAAAGTTTGAAGAAAGGCTGAAGTACAGATTTCGAGACAGGGCGTATTTGCTTCAAGCAATGAGCCATGCCTCTTACAGTCCAAATAGACTGACAGACTGCTACCAAAGACTGGAATTTTTGGGTGATGCTGTTTTAGGTAAAAAAAAAAAATATTTTAATATAATTCATATTTTTTTTACTAATTTACCGTTGATATGCAGATTATTTAATTACTCGGTACTTGTATGAGGATGAGAGGCAACACTCGCCTGGTGCTCTAACAGATCTAAGGTCTGCCCTCGTGAATAATGCGATTTTTGCCGTGCTAGCTGTGCGACATGGATTCCACCAATTTTTCCTTCATTTATCGCCTGGCCTGGCTCAGGTCATTCAGAGATTTGTTAGGCTCCAACAGGCTAATAGTCACTGCCTCTCACCACAAGTAAGAAATTGAAAGAAAAAGAATATCAAGATATTTATTGAATTTTTCAGTATTATGTTTTGGGTGAAGGCGACGTTTCCGAGGCTGAGGACATTGAGGTTCCAAAAGCCTTGGGAGATGTTTTTGAGTCCGTCGCAGGCGCAATATTTTTGGACAGCGGAATGTCCCTGGACGCCGTCTGGCATACCTATTATGCTATGATGGCGCCAGAGCTTGATCTCTTTAGTGCACATGTTCCCAAATCGCCAATTAGAGAGTTGCTAGAAAGAGAGCCGGAAACTGCTAAATTTGGGTATGTTTTTTTTTCATGATGAGATATCATTACTAAAGAAATTGTTTAATTTTTATAGAAAACCAGAGAAGCTCGCAGATGGGCGTAGAGTAAGGGTCTCTGTAGAAGTCTTTGGCCAAGGTGTGTTTCGGGGTATCGGGCGCAATTATCGTATTGCAAAGAGTACTGCAGCCAAGTGTGCCCTTCGTCACCTAACGCAGCACCAGCACCGAGGTGGTACCGGCGAGGCTAATCGTGCCCATTAGGCAAACATTGAACCAACCTAATGGTACATATTTAAGTTTTACAACACCAATAAAATAGAAATCATAATTACAAGTTGACTTTGATTATCCAGAGAATATTATAGTCGTGATTTTGAAATCAATACAATTTTTCTAAGATGAGTCAACTTTATTTACAATACAACGTATAGAAAAAGCAAATCACTCATTCAGCTTGGCTGTTTCTTCTTGGATCTTTGCAGCATCATCATCCATCCGCATTGGTGCCATTCTCCTTGTTGCTTTTTCTGGCGCCTTGTTGACTTCAATCAGGTTGGGATTTTCAATCAGTTTCTTAAGCTGATCTTGGCACGCTTTTAATCTTTGGGTGATGGGGACGTTAGGAGTGAGGATCAGAGTATTGGCGTTTCCTGCAAACGTGAATAGAGACTCGCCTTTGCTGCCCATAAGTTTTCTTAGAGCTTTATTCCGCTCGAGGATTTTGGAGTAATATTCAACACCTCCCTCAGCAAGTTCAAGACTGATGGCTCCAACTTTCTGGTCGGCCTCCTTTTCTCTCATATGTGTGGTAAGATCGCGCAGGAAAAAGTACATACCAGTAACAAAAGTTCCTAGGAAATTGAAAGAAATATAATGGTGCTCGATTTTTTAATTTAATTTACCTAATAAAGTGTACAAGAACACTCTGAATGACAAAGGCCTTGCATAGCCTCTCAATTTTTTGTTAAAATGTGTTGACAGCGCATAGTAAGCACCGATAGACGCACCAGGAGCAATGCTGTCATTGTAAAGTTTCATTGTGTTTGCTTCATAAATCTGAACTCCGAGAGCAAATGCCTTAGCCTTGTCACTCAAAACAAGGGATGCGATGAGTTTCTCCTTTGCTTCTGGCTCAGATTTAGATTGAATTGGCTCTCCTGCAACCTGTGTAGAAATGGAAATTAATAATATGTAGCAAAGCGTTGTGAAAATTTTAAAATAAATTATCTTACAGTAATTTTATTTGCATCAACGTCTGCCTTTGAGTTGAAATAGAAATTTGAAGGGACTCCAACAAGGACACCGTACTTGGAGTAGGCGCTTCCTAGATGCAATGTGTCAAAGCCGTAAGCTGTGAAGTATCTGTACAGTTTCTTGTCGACTTTGTGGAATCCAAGTTTTTCCATGACTTCATCTCCCAGATCGACAAATTTTTGTTCAACTTCAATCTCTTTGATACCTCTATAAGAAAAAAAAACATAAAAAATATACAATATATGCAATGGTCATAAAAAAAATTCAAGTCACAGAAAAATGAAAGACCCTCACTTGTACATTTTGTAGATTGAACAGTATTTGTCAATTAAGAATGTATTAGGAATATATTGGAGACAAAAACCCGCTGTTCCAGCAAGAAGTCCCAAGCCAAGGGTTGTTCGGCGGCCTGCTGTTGTCAAAAACCAGCTAAGTTTTTTTGCTGGTTTGGTGCCCGATGAAGTTCCTGGCAATCCTGGCCCAGGTTGTGAATAAGGTTGGATCTAAATAAAGAATTTCAAATTTTTTTAGATTTTAACTGCATAAAAGAGGAATTTTTACAAATTTTTATATGCACAACAAAATAAAAATAAATTTGCACACATTATAAAAACAAATCCAGAAATCTAAAAATGGTTGTTCGTTGTTGCATTACATACTTTTTCAGAAAAATAAAATGAATTGGATCATTGCAATTCATTGATTAACATTAAATTAGAAAATTGTATTGATTAGTTCATACCTTCATATTTGATGTTTGTGTTTTGTGTTCAAAAAAAGATAAATTGGCTAATAACATAAGAGTAAAATTGAGTAAAATGCAATAAATCCCCTGGGGCCGGTGTTTTCTTTTGAACAGATGACGAGCGCAGACCACGCCCCCAACTTTGTTGATGTTTTTCTGCCGCAAAAAAAGAGCGTGGTCGGTGACCTGCAGCTTTCAAAATTTCCAAGCTCACCGCTGCGGCTTAAATTTTTAGAGGATTTATTTGCGATTTCCTCAATAAGCGTAAAAAATTCTCCAAGTTAAACATAAAAAAATTAGTTCAGATCGTCGCTTCGTCTCAAATTGTCGGCTGAAAAATGCCGTCTATCATCAAGCTGCATGCCATTTCTGGCGCCCAGGAAGAGTCGCCGCCGTGTTATTTGTTGCAAGTTGATGAATTCAGGTTCCTTCTGGACTGCGGCTGGGACGAAAAGTTCAACCCTAACTTCATAAAAGAGCTGAAAAGGTAAAAAGTTACATAGAAATTAGGAAAAATTAACTTTTATAAATGTAAAATGTAATTTGTAAAAAAATGATATATTTTTAACACATTTGAAAATCAAAAAGTACAACTATCTGAAATTTTTACACTTTTTAAATCATTTGTATATTATTCGACTATAAATTTTTCAGATATGCTAGCCAAATTGACGCTGTGCTGCTGTCATTCCCGGACCACCAGCATTTGGGCGCTCTGCCTTACATGGTGGGAAAATGCGGACTGAACTGCCCGATTTACGCTACAATCCCAGTCTATAAAATGGGTCAGATGTTTATGTACGACCTTTACCAGGTATACAAATCTATGTCGTAAGGAAATTTGCTCAATTATTTAATTACAAATTTTTTTTTCCAGTCAAGAACAAATATGGAAGATTTTGATATTTTCTCTCTAGATGATGTGGACGCAGCTTTTGATAAAATCATCCAGCTCAAGTACAACCAAACAGTGGCCCTGAAAGGTGGTTTATTTTTATGATCATTATGCATTGTTATAACAATAATTTCAATAGGCAAAGGATATGGATTGTCCATTACACCTCTTCCCGCTGGACACATGATTGGAGGGACAATGTGGAAAGTTGTCAAAATGGGTGAGGAGGACATTGTCTACGCCATTGACTTCAACCACAAGAAAGAAAGGCACTTAAATGGCTGTGAGTTGGAGAAACTGGCAAGGCCGTCATTGCTGATCACCGACGCCTTCAATTCCATGTATGAACAAGAGCGGAGGCGAATTAGAGATGAAAAACTCATGAGTAAAATTTTTCAATTAGTCACCAAGTTGTTTTTTTTTTACATAGAATTTTGCAGCAAACATTCTGCAAACCCTTCGAAAGGGTGGAAATGTCTTAATTTCCGTGGACACTGCCGGCCGGGTTCTGGAGATTTCACACATGCTGGACCAGCTGTGGCGCAACAAAGAGTCTGGTCTAATGGCCTACTCTGTGGTTTTTCTCAATAACGTCAGCTACAACGTGGTTGAGTTTGCCAAGTCGCAGATCGAGTGGATGAGTGACAAACTTATGCGGACCTTTGAGGGTGCCAGGAACAACCCTTTCCAATTCAAGTACTTGCAGCTTTGCCACAGCATTGGTGAGCTGAACAAAGTGCCTAATCCTAAAGTTGTCCTGGCCAGTTCACCAGACATGGAATCTGGATTTTCAAGAGATCTCTTTCTCCAGTGGTGCTCAAATCCTCTGAACAGCATTATTATCACTAGCAGGTAAAAAGACTTCCTGATCAAGCTAAAAAAGTATTTATTTATTATTTAATAACATTAGGAAATGGAAAAAAATTGAAAATGCATTGTTATTTCAGGACAACGCCGGGGACCCTGGCAAGGAATCTTATAGACCAAGAGTACAGTCCGTTCACCATCAGTCTTGATGTTAAGAAAAGGGTTCCGCTAGAGGGGGCAGAATTGGACGCCTACCTCAAAATCGAAAAGGGGAAAAACGCAACAGCAGTGAAAAGGTTTTTAACTTCCAGAGTTTTAATTTCAAGTAACTGTAGTTTTAACTCTACTAGTGAGGAGTTTTCTTCGGACGAATCTGACAATGAAATGGAGCAAGTTGCCTTGGGAAAACACGATTTGGTGGTTAAACAGGAGGTGAAAACCAAGACTGGTTTTTTCAAGAGCAACAAAAAGCAGTTCCCCATGTATCCGTTCCAAGAAGAGAAAGTCAAATACGATGAGTATGGAGAAATCATCAGGCAAGTTTTATTGATTTATTTAAAGTGAATGAACTCTTTATTTGGTTAAATAATTTTACAATTAGGCCCGAAGATTATAAAATGACTGATGTTGTTGGTGAACCTGAAGAAGATGTGGTGAACAAAGAAAATATCCAGGTCAAGGAGGAGGATGTGAATGGTATGTTTCCTGTTGATTTTATTTAATCTAATGTATAAGTTTTCGTTTCTGCAGTGGATATCAATGAAGTACCCACAAAGTGCATAAGCACACTTCGGCATCTTCATGTAGCAGCTCAGATCAAATTTATAGATTTTGAAGGGCGTTCTGACGGAGAGTCGCTGCTGAAAATTGTCACTCAGCTGAAACCACGAAGAATTTTACTTGTGAAAGGAACACCAGAGAGCACAGCTTACATGGCAAATCATTGCAAAAAAATCACCGAAGGGAAAGTTCTCACTCCCAAAACCGGAGACGTTGTTGATGCTACAACTGAAACACACATCTACCAGGTACGAGAGCTTAAAACGAATATCAAACGAAACGCTTCATGATTTTATATTTCAGGTGAAACTCACTGATGCTTTGCTGAGTTCTATGGATTTCAAAAAAATCAAAGACGCCGAGGTTGCTTGGCTGGACTCGAAAATTGCTCAAAAGGAAGTTGAAGATGTGTTAGTGACAGAGGACGTTACAATGAATGGTAAATTTTACTTCTTTCTATTTAATAAACAGAATCTAATATATAACTCTTTCTTTAGAATCTATTCTTGGAACAGAAATCCCCACTCTTGAGCCAGTAAAGGATGTTGTAAGTTAAAAATCCTTAGTTAAGAAATTATCAGCGAGCATAAAATATTTTTGCAGAATCTGACTCATCAAGCCACCTTTATCAACAAACTCAAGCTCTCCGACTTCAAGCAAGTAATTGTTAAGGCTGGCCTGTCCGCTGAATTTTCCGGCGGTGTTCTTTGGTGTTGCAAAGGGACCATTGCTGTTAGAAAGGTAAAAATTTTAAAAAGTTGAAAAAGTTTTTCAATAATATTAATTTTTTTGCAGTTGGAGACAGGTACTGTAACTATAGAGGGATGTGTGTCTCCGGAATACTATCAAGTGCGGGAACTTTTGTACAGTCAATATGCTATCGTCTAAATTTTAAATAATTCCATGTAATGAAATAAATTGAATGATTTTTAAGGCAGCAAAATACAAATTGAATTCAAATTTTCATCATCAAAATAATTTATTTGCATGGCAGATATTTTACAGTTTGAACTTACAATGTATGTATATATCCCATTTTGCCGATGGGCCCAATCAAAAACTATATATTATGATTTTCATGAATAGGTGTACAAAATCATTTCCTTATCAAATACGACTCAGTTTAAATTTTTATTTTCTCTTAAAGCTAAAATGCAGTCATTCAAGTTGACAACCAACATCATTTGACTAAATAAAGCAATAACACCTGAAAATGTAGATCTGGCACGGCGGAGTGTCATGGTAGAAAAATCCATGCACAATATATAATTGTAAAGTCTTTAAAAAATGAGAACCGTTTCCCTGAGCTTGTGGTTATCAGTCAAGTTACAATAGGAATCAAAGGTGGGATGACCTGGCAATGTGCAGGAAAAAGGACAATTTGTCGTTGGTCTTCTCGCCACACATGTTGCAGTGGAAAGGGTCCTTGTAGCCATGGTATCCCATGTGCATGGCATACATGACGGCGTCCTTGAAGAAAATGTCACAGTAGCCACAGTTGAGCATTTTCCTGTCAACCCCTTCCTTCTCCCTTTCATTGGGAGGAACGGCAGACACAGTCTCTTCCTTCTGACGCACAACCTGTCTGTCCTCCTCGTCGTCGACCTGAATCTCTTCCTCCTCCAGCCTGAAAGGAACTTTGCCTTTGCGGCGGTTTTTGGCTGGCGGACTCGCTGGTGGTGGTGGAGGGGGTGGGGTTTCCTTGCGGAGGTCCAGAGGATTGAGGGCATTGGCACTGAGATGCTGCATCAGCCCCACCTGCTGGGCATAAACCCAGGAAAGGTACTCCTTCAGTGGGTTTATCGGCTGCTGCACAGGGTGGCTGGTCATCAGGTGCTGCTGGTACTGCCCTTCGGAAGTGGTGCTGAAGTCGCACTGGGCGCACTTCAGGGATGTCACAGGCACAGCAGGAGATTGCGGCATCTAAAATATTGAAATGTTAAGCTTTTGGTTATAAAATTAATGAATAATATTTACCTCATGATTGTCTTTCTTGACTTTTGGGCCTCTTCTCGTTCCATAAACATCAATTATGGGCAGAGGGTTAGGGGAGCCGTCAGGGTTGAGTACCATGGCAGGGCTGTGCATGTACTTGCGGAGGTGCAGTTTTAGACTGTGGCAGTACTTGGTCACATAGTTGCAGTCGGCGCAGCGGTACTGGTACACATTTGAATGGGACTTGAGGTGCGAGTTGAGCATTGACTTGTTGACGCAGGTGTACGGACACTGTGGACACTTGAAGGGCTTTGACCCTGAGTGGTTGCGTAAGTGGTACTCCAGGTGGTGTTTGTACTCAGTCACAAAAGGGCAGCGGGGGCAGGACAGAATCTTGTCACCCTTGATGTGAGCCTTGCTGTGGGCCCAGAACTCCAGCTTGGTGTGGGCAACAAAAGAACACTGCTTGCAGCGAAAGGACTTCACCTGTTGACAAGAGTTATTAAATGAGATTTTATTGAATAAAAAAATCACTTTGTGAATAAATTTAAATTATTGATTTTTTTATCACTTAAAATAACTTAATTCCATTAAATAAAAAAAATCTTGATGACTAATTTTTTATTTACTATTTTTTTAACATACCTTTCCGTGACCACCACCAACGCGGGTGACTGTTTCATTGTTGTTGTCAGCAGGGGCGAGTCCGTGGAACTCGGCCAGGTGGGCATTGAGCTTAGGAAGGCTCTTGCTCGAAAAGCCGCAGACAGTGCAGTGGTGTTCCTGCGGCAGGTGGGTCATCAGGTGTGTCAGAAAGGTTTCCTTGGACAGACTAGCCAGAGAGCAAAGGGAGCAATTCAAATTGGAGACGCTGATATTTGTCTCGGGGTGGTCCTTGCAATGGTCAATCAAAGCAGGCAGAGAGTCAAAATCCATGGAACCGCACAGGGGACAGCGCAGGATGACGGCCAGGCTGTTCGGACTCATTGAAGCGCCATAAGCGTCGTTGTTTTCCTCGGAAGAAATGGAACTGTCTTCTTCGTGAAGGCTTGAAGTTTGATCTTTATCTAAAGTAAAAAAATGTATCTTTAGTTTGGAAATTAAAATAGAAATACGGTTAAAAATTTGGATCTTTTTTCCAAAGGAAGGGGTGGTATATATGGGATTTTATTTTTCTTGAAACAAATCACAGCATTTGTGAACACAATTTTCTATCATGCAGATGCAATTTCGGCGGAAGCAATTCTGCATCGCTTACAGTCTTTATGTGCTTTTCTTGTCAGTTTTCGTCGCAGATGTAAAAAGTCAAAAGAGCAGCTTGTGCGTATATTTGTGTTTTCAGATATAGGTTTCGCTGGGTGTCAGGGGTGAAGACGCGCGGAGAAGCGTGGCACGTTTAGCAATTAGTTAAAAGTCGTGACATTTACCCGGTTGCTCCTCCTTGACTGGAAACATTGACGAAGAGGTGCCGCCAGCCTCTGCAGTTTTGGCAGCTGGCGGACTTCCGCCTACGCTCGAAGGGCCGCTGCTCGATGCGCGTCCAGGCGAAATCCCCGAGTCGTCGTGACCAGCAGTAGAATTTTCCTCATTGCTTTGACCCTTAAAACAATAAAAAGCAAAATAAATAAACATACTTGTCATTTAAGTTGATATAAATAATAAGAGAAACAGAGAACATAATTTTTTTATTGTTTTAAAAATATTGGATATTTTTAAATTTTTATTTTACGTTTTAATATCTATTTACACCATAGTAAAATAATTGACTGAAATAATATTAACTAATATTTATAATATTTGTAAGTAAAATAGAACTTCATAGGCAAAAAGAAAACAATATACACATGCAAATAAACAAAAATAATCCGGCCTTAATGTTATAAGGAAAAAAATAAGAAAAATAAAAGAATCGCAAAAGCTTCATTTGTGAGAGATTTTAACGCATGATAATCATTACGTAGAGAATAAATTTGTAATATTTGCATCCTAATTTTATTATTCATGCATATCTATTTATTCAAATCAATTAATTAAAAGAATGTTTTATAAAAAAAAAAAAATTACTATTCGTAAATTAAATAAATAATAATAAATTAATTTAAAACCAAAACAATTTATTACCTTCCATTGGTGATGGGCTGCCGACCAGATGTCAGACCCTGGGGTGAGAGACGTGGCCAGCATGCTGCCCTGGTAGGTGTTAGGCTTGACTGGCGAGTAGCAGCTCAGGGGCCAAGTGATGGGATGCATCGGCGCTGTCGGGATTTCCTGCGGCGTTTGCAAGGCGGCGCCGGCGCTGAGCATTGTGCCACGCTCCATCAAGAGCGAATCTTTGGAAAAAAAAGAGGACGACCTTTAAATAATCTGAATGCTCTGAAGCAGAGTGCTTGAAATGCGATGTGCTTTTCGCGAGCGGCGGGGCGCGAGTGAAAGAACGCTTGGAATAGGTCAAGAGTTTTCAATCGATATTATTTTGTCCTCTCTCCTTTCGCCAGATAAACGCGAGCAATTTCAAATACACAAAAGTGACCCCTGTCAACCCCAACACTCCTCCCCGTCCATTCTGTTTGCTGACCCCTGCACCCCACCCCCAAATTATTTCGAATGCGTCCGCCCGCCTTTGTTGGAATAAAAGAAAGAAAAAGAGGGAAAGGGAACAAAAGTCACGAAAATATACAAAATTTCAAGAAAAAAATTGTTTGTATCTTTGAGCTGGCGTTTTGATTATTTGAGAAACCAATATTTGCCAAAGCCTTTCTCGTGCATTGAGCAAATGTTTGCGAGAGAGCGGCAATGACAAAATCTTGTTTGGATCAGACCTCGTGTTTTCTGCTCGGACTTTATTATAATTTCCGCCGACCTTTGGATGTTTTACCAGTGCTTAGTTGGCAACCAATTTGATTACAAAAAGGATGGAATGCGCAGACATCGATCACCCGCATGTGACTCGCCCTTCGCCTTGAGCTTTTGTACCCATAGCCGTCTAAAGACAGGAGAAATTTTGTTTTAAAAATATTAAAAGGCTTAAATACAATCGATCAGACATTTAATAAAACGATTATTATTTATTATTTACCTTAACGACAATAATAGCAATTAATTATATTTCAAGTGCGTTTATTGCCGCCGGTTATTATGAGAACAGACATTCTTAATGCTTTTTCTTTAGGCCTGTGAATTCGGTCTAAAATAACTCGCAATATAATAATCGACATTGCTGGCGTCACCGAGGGACATTTTTCAGCGTCGCCACAAATCGATTAAAGCAAAGCGGACAAAAATGCCAGCAATGCTCGCGTCGTTTTATTTATTTCCAGTCCACCGCGGGCACAATAAATTTTCTCTATTTTTGCCGCTAACGTGAAAGAAGCAATTCTTTTCTATCACAAAAATTTCGACGAGTTACATTTTACTTTGCTGGACAAAGGCCGGCGCACATTTATTTAACTTTTTCCGCTGGGGTCAAAAATATTAACGTTTCTCACGCAAAAATATAACAAAAAGAAATTGCGTTGTGGAAAAAAGGGATGTGCTGGCGTTTGTTAAATAATAGCAGGGAGCAGCAAAAGGGTCGTGCGGGGCAGGGGTCGCGGCAAAAAATAATGGCAATTTTGACTTATAAGGGTAGGGTCAGACCACCTGCCTATTCTAAATGACCATCGATTATGGGGCAAGGGTCAGTCGCAGCTGCCCTCTGCGGTTTTTACAACTCTGCGCCGTGAATTATTGCACTTTCAGCCCAAATAAATAAAACAGACGGCGCTCACAGCTTGTTACAAATAAAAAATTTCTCACTTTCCCTCCCTTGGACCAAATACGAAATCACACAAAATCGGAGCGCATCTGCCACGATCGCCGCAGAGTCCGACTGAAAACCCAGAGAGCTTTTTGATTGCCACAAAAATTATGGAATGAGTTGAATCAGAAATTTCTCGATGGATTGTGTTTATTTAAAGTTAACTGCAGAGTTGGAGTTCAGAAAAATGACATAAAGATGAAAGCATATTAAGCTTTGTACTGTAACAAAAATATGTAAATATAATATAAAAATAAATTATTACGTTTTCTTCTCTCTAATACGCAAAGCAAGAATAAATTATGTCAAAAGCACTAAACATGGAAATATTATTAAAAATATAACGCAATGAATAATTGAAAAATTTCATTTTATTAAATTTAATAAAAATAAAAATTTTGAAAAATGTGGCAAGGCTGCGCAACTTTATTATCAGAGGTAAGCGAAAAATTACAAATAAATTTGCATTACACACTACAAAAATTTTCATGATGCAAGTGCAGCAAGTTTTTTCCAGACTACATTTATTGAAATTATACATAAATTTGTAATAATCAAGAAAAACAGTCTAAAATAATTGTAAAGAAAAAATTAACAAATTTTTACCAATTAATCTTTTAAAACATTGTTCTCCTATTTCAGTTACACAAAAGCTTTGTTATCAAAATAAAAAGAAATTAATATATAAAATTGGTAAAATGTTTCGTCTCCAAAAAATAATATGATTAGGCAAGAAAATAATTGTATTTTTTGCTTTGTTTTTAAGAATGGTCAGTTCCCGAAATAATATTCATTTCATTATTTCTCATCCCTCATTGCTGTGAAATGAATCAGGGCAGGCGGAGCGTGTAAGACAATATGCGTGCATCACGCTTGCACATGCGGGAGTTGCAGCTGCGTGCAGCTCAAATTAATATTTGCAGCTCAAAAACGGCTTAAACGCAATGGTCAGTCGAGCTGTGGGAAAAACGAAGGCAATTTACAGGCGCGCGCTGGCGAGCGTGGGCCGCGCTCTCCATCTGCAAACACAATGGGTCACTTTTATTGTCCGAAAATTTTCAATGAGCAAACTGCCACGCACAAATGCTCCGAATGCGTCAAGATTTATTGCCGAGACTGGATTAAAACTTTTTTCACCCGCGCGGATAAATGATGCGTATTTCCAATTCGAGCGGGGTGTGGATCATGTACAAAACGGGGAATAAAATTGCAACGGTTTTGGATTTTCCAAAGATATTCTGTGATGCCCATCTGTCACACAGTTGTCGATACTGTGGGAGTTTTTAACTAATCATTCATATAGGGGATTATTCCGAAATATACAATTTCGTCTCATGTCTCAAATGAACTAACCAAAGCTGAAATTTGTTAAATCTCAAAACCACAACTGAAGGATTCATATATTAGAGTTTATAATGCGCTCATTAAAGTGCAAAATTGAAAAGACCCAGTAATTTTTGAATTTGTTTTAAGATCCAATAAGAATTAAACTTACTTGAAAGTACATTAATTTATATTAATATTCATTTTAAACAGTTAATTTTGCAAAAATTTATAAACATCTGGCAATAACGTAAACAAAAGTACATATTATTCAATCTAAGAAAATTATTTTGATTGATTTATGATCACATGCCTCAAGCATAATTTTTGTGCATTCAATATGGCATATTACGGCTGCCGAGTTTGACCTTTCTGCTTCGCACATTTGCCAGCGTGAAAAAGTATGTTATGCTTGCACCTTTTTTTTCTTAAAAATACCCCCGCTCAGCTGCATGGGATACGGGGAATCGAGCAGGGGATCAAAAAGAAGGAAACTCGAAGCGGAGAGGGTAGTTAGGGCTCAATTATTTTTATGATGCACTCGCCTCTCTGGAGGCTCGTTTTCCAGCACTTTAATGAGTGTGTCTGCAGACGCGACTCATTAAGGTCGACAAAAGCTGCAGTTTTTTTCTGGCTGCAGCGAGACGGGGGTGCATAGCAGGAAGTGTCCGTGGCTCGTGCGTGAAACTGCAGCAGGGGTCACAGGCAGCTCTGATTTTTTAACACATGGTAATTTAGAGGAACGGAAGTGGGTCGCTTTTGCACCCATCATTATATTTCTTGTTTAACTAGCGCCGCCGCCTTCGTACCAGGTGCATCCAAAGGTCCTATTTTGGGACTTTTTTCCAACGGGGATTCAAAGCTGGCAATGTGTTTGCAAATAGTGACACGCTCATTAACCGACGGGTTTGACCTTTTCAATTTTTTTCCTCAGTCCCAGAAAATAATTAGACACTCATCTGCCTATCTTATTCCGAGCGCTATTCTATACCTGAATAACAAGCCCGCGTCAAAAATATACGGTCGCAATGATAAATACGTTAATTAGGTGTTTTTATCCCAAAAACGTTTTAAAACATAATACACGCGCTAAGTGCTCGTCGAGATTGGACTCGCTTTGATTTTTAATGTGGAGCAAGAAATACAAACGGCGGTAAACAGAAAGAAAAGTGATCTGTTTTTGAAAGCTTATCTAATAGCGCCTTGTTTTTCAAGCGCAGGCTGAAAAATCGGGAATTATAATGAGGAACAATTATCCTCATATCATAATATTCAAAGTTCATGAAAATGTTTAAAAACCGTGACAAAAACAATTTATTTAAAAAACTCAGTGGCCAAAGAAAAGGAAACAGAAACTAACCTCACAAATAAAATGTTAGTTACGTTATTTATCTTCTCATTCAAAACAATTGCACTTTATAGTTTATGTTTGCACTATGGACCATTCAAAGAGACAACTCAATCAATCGTAGATTAAAAAATTTAAAGCTAAAATATAAAATAAGTTGAATACTTTAACTGACACAATGATTGAATTGAAACTTTCTAAAAATTAGTTAATAATCTCATAATTACATGTAATTGATCAAAATATAAAGAACACATTTCAATTTAAGAGGCCAAAAATCAAAAGTGTCATTTATCAAAATATAATTTTATTTTCAAGCAACAAATTTAGGTTTGCAATAAAGAAAAGTAATTTTTTCGCCCAAAAATTTATTAAAAAGGAAAAAATAGTTGAAAAAATAAACAATTGCCTGATGAAATGATTACGTAATATATGTTTTAAATTTCCAGAATCATAACAAATTTATAAAATTTTAAATTATTTTTGTGCTAGCTAAACCAATTCATCGTTCATCGTAAATGGCACTTTAAATTTAATGAACTTTGATTACTGATTTTATTAGCTACTTTGAAGTGAGTCATGGAATTTTAATACTTCGAGTGACGCGTGCATAAAAATCTATACAATAATTACAATGGCGGCACCTGATTTGGTTCAGCGGATCTTTGGTAACTTTTTTTCCTTTCTCTTTTCACTCGAGCGGCGGCACGAGCCAGCGCACAAAAAACGAACAAAGGGCGCGTCATTTCGGACCCCAGCGAAAAACGCACCCCACCGCGGGGGAGCGGGCATAAATCTAAAATGGAGTCCCCCGCCCGCCGGGGGCATTAAAACAAAGCCAGGGCCTCGTAATCACGACATGGGAAATTGTAACACATTTTTTATATCAAACGCGCGAGCGAGCGAGGGGTGCAATCTAAAAGAGCGATTGGCCAAATTTGATGGACGCTCCGCCTCCACCCTCGCCGCCGCTCTGACTCACCCCATTGTCTGATGCAGCGAACGCGCGGGGGATGAAAAGTAAAACAAAGATTTTGCACGACGAGAGAGAGCGAGCGGCCCCCGCATCTTTCCAATGATGCTCGCAGGAGCAAAGAAAAAGTACAGCCACGACGCAAACTTTCCAAACCAATAATCGCAAAAATGCATCCGAAAAATCATGAAGTGCTTCTGGGAGTTGCAGAAAAATGTTCTCTAATGTCCGAGGTGGAGAAATGAAAAAGATGTGTTTATTTTTCTCGATTTTGACTAAGGAAACTTGCTCCAAATCGGAATGAAATGCAGGTTTAAAATAAAAAATTAGATGAACCTTTTTTATATAAACTTATTTTTCATGATTTTTGTCATTTTTGTAATAGGGATTTAAAAACAAAAATAGGTTAATCTGTGAACTACTGACTTTTTTTTTAATTTAAATTAATTTTTGGTTACGTTTTCTTATAAATTTTTAGTTCCAGATTGAATGAATTGGATTGTGACATTTTGATTTGGATTATTTAGCACTTTATCAAATCCGGTCATAAAAAATTCAGTCTTTCTCGATAGACGATAGGCGAGGCGTGAAATTGAAATCCATCAGATAGGCGACCCAAGTCTGCCGGCAGAAAATTATTAAACCATCAATTTGATTGAATCGCAGGCGGCACAAAAGGCGCCTTTTTCAAATAGACGGGCGCGCAGACTGTGGAAAATTGTTGAGCACACGCCGTCGAAAATGAAATCGTTGACGCCGTCTTGACGTCGTCACGCTTACCCACTCGCTAATCCATTTTTTTGTAAGAAATTTGACGCCCTGTTAACTGGAAGCGGCTGAATTGAAATGTCGGAAAGATTGACAAAAAATTTGGTTGATTTGCGTGAAATTCGGGTAACTTTTTAACAATCGCCAAATTGTTCCTCCAACTGACCTTTTTGCTTTTGAAAAAGAAAAAATGAATTTGGCAGGAAATAAATAATTTGATGAAAATTTATTAAGCAAAGACAAAAATTATCAAGAATTGGAAAGCGATTGAAATTTGCAGTGAAGTAAATTAATGCCTTTTTAATTAAATATGAACAATGAAATGAATTAAAATAGAAAATCTGTTATTTGGTGTCTTATCAAAATATACAATAGCCTTTATTATCTTGATTAAAAACTCATTTCAGCAAAATAAATAGTTTGAACAAAAAATCATTTATCCATTTTTGTAATAATTTAATTCTTAGTTGGAAATTTATTTTACTCAAGTCACTAAATGAGAGTTAAACTACGTATTATTATGTTTCATAAAAATGGGTATTTTACAAAATTTAATTTCATTGTATATTTAATTTTCTAGAAAAAAAAGCAAGTATGTAGTCGTATATGAGTTTCAATTAAATGGATTAATGCACAAATTTGTCGATCGGGTGACAACTGACAATATAGCATGAAGAAAAAAAGGACTGACAATGAGCAATAAATCCAAAATAACTGCTCCAGGAAAAAAATGACAAAATTATATTATTACTATTTACTGTTATTTACGTATATTTTTAAATTTATAAGTTAATAGCACTATTTCAAGTTCCGACCCTTTTATAAATAAATTAATTTATAATAAACAAATGCAAGAAATTTTTATATTTAATAAACGTAACCTCCTAATTCAATTGTTATTGTTAGAAAAGTGTTAAATTCGTACGTAATTAAAATTTATTCAACTTTAATCTCACTTCTTAATATATATAATATACTAATTTTATGAGTATTTAAAAAAAAAGTGGATGATAAACAGCGCAAACTGTTTTTATCAAGAAAACTTCAGAACCAATATATAAAAATTAAAACAGAGTTCTGCTGGAAATGCTGCGCATCTACTTCAGTATACTTAAAGCGTATTATATACAAATGATCCGTTGCATACATAAATATAAATGATCAAAGAAACTGATCGAGTTTTTGTCAGAATTCAAAGAATTTAGATGCAGCACTAAAAATACGCAAGGAACGGCCGGGAGGAAAAACGCCTCTTATGAAGCGTCTGATAAAAAATTGCGATGTGGAACGCAAAAACTCACCTTTCTAGAGTGAAGATGCAAGGTCGGCAGGTAAACAAGAGAATCCGTGAGTGTCGCAGACCGACCAACACTGCGTTTCGGCGTGGAATGAAAGAGAATGAGAAGGAAAGGCGAGCGAGTGCAGCGTTGCACTATGGATGGGCTTGTTATGGGCCCATAAACCGAAAAACGAGCGAGCGGCGCGTAGGTCGGGGCTGTCGCCGAATTCTCCTTCTTCTCCCTCCACCCTCTTCTTCTTTCACTGCGATTCCGCCTTTCTGCTTTTTTGCTTTCCCTGCGCATTTCTTGCTATTAAATTTACAGAATACGAAATGCATACATAATTGTTGGGAAGGAGAAGAAAGAAGAAAGGAAAATTACTAAATTCACATTAACGATATTTTTGTTAAGCTTCAATAAAATTTTGGCAATGATCAATGTTGGTGCTTTACCCAAATTTATTTTCATAGTTTGTTGACACCAAACTCTGCCCGTTGGATGGGAAGAAATTATTAAATTTTTATTAGCCACACTAGAATTTTCACGATTTTATGTATGAAGTCAATAAATAAATAAATAAAATTAAAATATAAAAACATAATCTGCTGAATAAAGAATTAATTAAATCTCTTTAATTTACCGAAATTACACAACCGTTAAGTTCAAATTTTGATTTTTGCTCATTGGGAACAAGCTTCTGTGTTTCCAACCAAAGAACACAGACAGGATGTAATTCAAATTGAGCTTCGAAATTGTTTTGATGATGTGAGACCTTTGTGAAAAACTTTTCATATTAAAGGAAACTTTTGGAAACGCAAAATCCTTCCTTTATCTCGCTATAATTTTAGCTTTTGTTTAGTAAAAAATAAATATTTTAATTCGCTTAAGTATAAGTAGCTGTAAAAATGAATAGATTTTTTGATTTTTTAAGCAAATCAACATTATATGTGTGCGGTTTCAAATGTTATAATTATTAACTTTTGAACTCACCTGGATCGTTTGAAGATTCTATTTTAGATTGAGTTGATTAAAAATGAAAATCGATTTTCCACACTGAACTGTTGGGAGTTTACTCGTTTCCTGTTTTATGCTTCTTGAGTGAAACAGCTATTTTCTGGCTTCAATTCTTGGTACCCAATTCTTATAGGTTTACCATTCAGTAATTTGAGTTTTAGGATTTAATTTTTAAAATTAGAAATTCCGAAAATTACAGAAGATTTGAAAAAATCTGTTATAGGTTATTTTTTAAGCAATTTCTGGATTTGAAAAAATACATAAAATCGCTAATCTCTTGATTAAATTTTGTGCACTTCAAATTTAAATTATTTTTCAACAAACGGCTGGGATCAGCAAATATTTGTTGGCTCAACTGAAATGAATATGATCTTAATTGAATTAAAAAAAATTACTTAATGTGAAGCATTTTATGAGAGAGCAAATAATGTGTTGCAGTGAGAATGTGTTTTTTTTTGTCGAGAATTCAATTGATTTGAGAGAGAGGGTGCGTTCGGCGTTGGGGGTGGAAAGGTGGTGGGTGGGTGGTGAAGCAAAGGGCCGGCACGGAGCAACGAGGTAAACAGGCCTCTGCGATACTTTTTTGGCAGTTGAAAATATCTATCAGCGAATGCAGCCCCCGCGCGCGCGAGCATTTATTGAGAAAAAGTGCAGGAGGAAAAAAGGCGCCTGTCCACGCACGCAGACCACAAAAGGGACGCGCTTTGTGTCCCACGGACAGATGTTTTTTATACCCACCACTGCAGTTTAAAGGATTTTTCGCCCAGCAGCTTCCTTCTCTTTTTTACAAAAACATGCCAGCCGTAAATATGTATTTCACGTTCTGAGAAACGAACGCGGATTACTATCGATATTGAAAAGGGTTTTTTATACCTGCTGCTGGAAAAACAGCACAAAAAGAAGGCCTGCCGAGAAAGGGGATGTTTTTAGCCCATTTCCAAGGGTGGGAGCATCGCTAATGCGTTGCAGAATGTGTTTTGAATCGCAGCTCTCTACCTGCCGTGTTTCTCTTTTCTCAAGAGGCGATCCTGTCAATTTTTGAGAACCTCCCAGGTAAATTTTCGGCACGGGAGAAAGAATCTCTCAACCTTGGCAAGGGATTTATGGCTCCTTTGCAAAGAAAGGCTTCACCCTTTCAACCAGGATTCAATTTTCCACGCATATTCTTATAAGATTTTTTCACTCACACAAGACACTTCCCCTTTCTTGAATATTATTTTATAGTTTCAAGGTTGCTCTTGTGGTGCTTTTCACTAAAATTTCATAAACCTATTCCTAATTTATGGCATTATATTTTTGAAGAAATTATATTTTTCAAGTGTTTTCCTTTTTTTAATATGCAGAGAAATTTAATGTTTAATATTGAAAAATTAATTTTTATTTTTGTTAATAATAAAATTATCTACCGTAAATGTTGTAGAAATGACTCTAAAAATTTTGGTTTATAAAAACTAAAAAACCATTGTCATCAAGATATTTTACATAGATTTTCACCTATTCGTCAGAAAAAAATAAAATAATGTGAAGATAAAATTCAAGATAATAAAACCTCCATATTTTCTCATCATATTTCAGTTTCTTTTTATGACGAGAAACCGTATTATTTGATCTCATCACCAAAATATTTTCTTTGAAAAGCATGTTCAATACATTAATCAAATTATTAACCTATGAACAGCCATTTTAATATAAAAATAAAATCCAGGTTATCAAAATTGTTAGATATTTTTTCCGAGAAATCTTTTGCACTCAAAAATTAATTTATTCATCTTCAGGCCCCCAAAATGAGACAGAAGTGACAAAGAAAACATTCCTAGAACTGAAAGCTATAAATTAATTAGCAATAAAATTGAGCGATTCACGCGCGTGGGGAAATTGAATAAAGCGCACCGACCTTGATAAACCCATTGTCTTTAGTCAACGGTTCGTTTCCCGCTTGCGGTCATCAAATTTAGCAAAAATGATTCAAACAATGTGCGAGGAAATGACTTAATTTTTTGGTTTTTCGAGAAAGCGATAAGATCAAAATTGTCACTGTTCATTCATTGTCAGTGGAAACTGAAAAAGTTTCCTTCAAAATAACCCATTGCCAATTTTTATGTTGAGGAAAACCTATCGTTCAAACTGTTTTTTTTTCCTTTCAGTCATTGAAGTCGCCGAGGAAAGAAAATCGGCTTGTACCAATCCTTTAAAATAATTTTTATGCTTCCTCTCCGTTGAATTTTCAGACTCAATCTGCTCCCCAAGAAAATGCCGCAAGTCTCCAGATTATCATCTCTCTGACAGCTCAAATCTATGTATATGAAACGATATTCGAATATAACACGATTTGGCGCAAACCAGAAGTCAAATATTTATCCGCCGCACGCTTCCGTATAAAAAATCTTTTGTATATACCTGCGCGATCGATGCATATCAGAGGAGGGCGAGCGACAAAATAGAAAAATACACACAGGGCATCTACATATTATGAAGATGAATGGCAGAGGGACGTTGGAAAAAAAAATTAGGGAGCGTGCCGGACAAAGGCAAATTTGCAGCCTCCCTTTAAAAAGATGTTAAAAAGCGGGGAAGTGACGCAGATTTTTTATCGGTCGTGCGCTCTCTCGGTGTCCACAATGATGATAATAATAAAACTGCTGCTGTCCCCTGCGTATTCATTGATATTGTGCCGCACGCGCTTATGGCATTGTGCGGCGCGGTCATTTTTCACGGGGACATTTGCTTATTTAGGGAAAGGTGCTGCAGTGCTACTAGAAAAAAGCAGATGCCGTTTTTATGTGTTGGATCGGGACACACGTTTCTTTTTTGTCCACCGCTCACGTGTGCCATATATACTTGATGATAATAAAAAGAAAGAAAAAAAACGGTCGACGGCCACAATTTCATGCTCCTCTTCTGCATTTCCAGCGGATACTTAGGGGTTTTGATTTGCTATAATGCTTCTTTTACGGCTCGGATTTCGCGTCCGTTTGTTAATATAGCTCTTGATGGTGGTGGATCTTGAGGTGCAGCAACTACAATTTGGATAGGTGAATATAAAAAAGAAATAAGCTCTTGAAGGGGCACAACTTTAAATGTAGTAAATGCAATGAATAATTTGATAGTCCAAGAAATTAATTTAACCTGTTTTGTTGAAAGTCTGCAAGGCAAACTATATGAGTTTTTTTTATCACGATTTATATTCAGATTACGTTGTTATAATAATTTAATTAATTTTCCTGGGACAAAAAGAATTGTAAATATTTAATATTATTATCTAAAAGCAGTCTCTGAAATTGAGGAAATCAACTCACATTCAGTGGCACACCTTATTTTAAAATATACTATAGCGTCTCAATATCGTAGTCTCTTTTCATTGTTAAAATAAATATTTTCATTACATATAAATATGAACGTATCAACACATCTTCTCCTCCGTTTAAAAACTTCATTTTCATCACTTTTTCTCACTAATGCAAAACACCTTGAAGTAAATAACAAAGACTTTTCATAACAAATAAAGTCTCTCAACCCCTCTCCGGCGGTCAGCATTTGTCCACCCCCATTTTTGTAGAGAGAAAATATTATACTCTGCTGATCAACATCTCACTATTATGCCCATCAGGCTAGAAATCCACTGGGGGTTGAAATCTCTCACAACTGACATGAAGCATTTTTTCTCTCCTCACAACTGTTTTCCGGGAAATGCAGTGAATCATCCAATAATCTCATATAGCAGCGTTCTGTTTTGATGCCTGCAAAATAGGTGCGCTAAGATAACTCGAAGAGACACCAAATTAACATTGTGAATAATTTATTTTTATTTTAAATATAAAAATTGTAGTAGTAAGATTTTTTTATACCACCGTCTATAATATGCAACTTGTCAATAAAAAAACCTCAAATTCAAAGATAAACAATTATAGAGAAAATTATACAAAAGTCAATTACGTTTTTCATCATAATTCTTTGAAAGAAAAAGTCAACAATTACAGAGAAAAATTATTGATTTACTCATTTACTTGTAATTCATTTTGCAATTATTAGAGAAATTATAATTGAAAAACGAAATTGAGAAAAATCACGTGCTCAATTATTAAGTAAATTGAAATGCAAATTAGATTTAATCATTGATTTTATCAGACAGTGCCGATCACCATTGTTTTTCCAATTCTTTGCGAAACAACGCACATTACTCGTTCTCGTAAATGGGAGCCGACAAGGTTAATCAAACACAAGCGCACTTGTTTTGATGCAAGTAAAGCATCGCGGCATCAAAATGCAAATTTGTGCACGGCGGGAAGTTAAAAATAAATGAACGAGGAAGCGGTGGATGCTTTGAAAAATTTCCTGGCAAAAAGCAGCATAAGTGCGACTTGCAATTAGGCTTCTAATTATTATTCCGAGTTCACACTTAATGAGAAGAGTCGCGCGTGTATTTTCCTCTTGAGCGTGACACGTAATTAATGAAATGAATGAAGTCTGCGTTGCTAACAACGGTATGCAGCAGGAAAAACACGTGTGACTCATCTCTCAAAAAGTATAGCATGAGACAAATAGCGTTAATTCCCAGCAGCTTTTTTTATCCTGCTCGAAATTTATTGCCGCGAGCAAAAGGTGCTCAGCTTTATTTACTCTGGGAACAAAAAATATGAATCACGCGCAGGTTGCCGATAAAAAAAATGAAGTAAAAAAGAGCAGCTAATACGGGGCGCGCGTGCATGTTTTCGCTCATTCATGTCTATTCAGTTTTTTTTCATCACAGGCATTTTGTGCCACATCAAAATGGTTGTTTAATTGAGCCGTCGTTTTTTATGTATAAAGTTTCATCCAAGGCTTTATCATACAGGGGGTGAGAGGGATCAAAAGGGGGAGAGTCTCGAGTTGCGCCGCCAGCAAAAAATCCCCCTATATGTTTTCACTTATGTTTTTTTAGCTTCTGCTGCACATTGTGTTGATGATGAAAGGGATTTTTTTAGTCATGAATAAAAGGGCGCGTGAAATTCCGCGGACAGGTGCAGTAGAGCGTGAAATTCCTACGCCTCTGTGATTCAAAAAGTTAATTGACATCAAATTCAATTTATGCAGATTTGCCAAAGGCCAGATCGTCAGCTGATTTCTGCATCAGAACGTGCCATTGAACCGACAAATGCCGCTTTTCCTGCAAAATATGAATTTATAATCAAGCCTTCGTGATAATTTATTTGAGCGAAGACTCCGCCAGCCGCTCGGTCGCAGCCTATTGTGTCGACATTTGTGATTATTGGCCAATAAAAAATTCAATGTCACTGCCGCGTATTTCAGCACGGTGTGGATATGCTTAGGCCGTGGATTAAACATATGAGCTCCTCATGTCCCATACAAATTAACCGCGCGCGCAATTGCACTTCTCAATTATATATGCTCAATATGATAACGATCAGAGCCAATCAACACGTGAATTAATCAGTTGTCTTGGCAAATGAGCCGTGAGGTTAAAATTGTTTGAGAAAAAAATGGTAATGTCAACGCTATAATGATATTGCGATGATTGATTTTTAAATTTACTCATGAAATTTAATGGCGCTTAATAACAATTTTTTAATTTCTCTCTGAATCTTGAAACGTAAAATTTCATTCATAGAGAATATAAGTGAGAAAAATCAATATTTTGAAAAAGCAGATATAATTATGCCAACAAGAAAACTCTAATATCCTCTTATATGATTTTTTAATATACTCATACTTTCAAAATTTAATAGGGATATCAATTCTCTTTGTGAGATAACTTCTCTTAAAATGGTTATCTATCTCCAAAGGACTTCTCTGGCTAAACTGTTTCTTTTTAAAAGTAATATACGATCAAAACTAATAATAAAAAATAGTTTATTATTTATTTAAATGTTGTAAAAATTATACCAAAGAAATTAAACAATATGTTTTTTTTAATTAAAATTAATTTAAGAGTTGAAATAAAAATTAAAACTACATTAATAATATGAAAAAAAGATTAAACCTCCTCTCCATTAATACTTATCACTCATCACGAATACATTAAAAATTGATTTCTTGTAATTTTGGCCTTTATGGGTTTGAACTTGTTTGAACTGAAGCAAAATGACAAGAAATTTATTTGATTCATATGAGCGGCTGATAAAGCGCGGGACAAGGTTTTGCTTGCAAAGAGATGCGCTCGGCGTGATGAAACGATGACGCGATCTTGGCTCTGTGTGTCGAACGAGCACCAAACCGTGATCGTTTCCCCTACCGCGAGCCAAAAGCGCCTCCACCGCTGCTGGTCTCTCTGGCGGTCGCGCTGCTGCGAGAGTTATATGAGTGCGAAACAGGTGGTCTCGCGGCAGTGACTCGGTCGATGGTGAACGGTCTGCACTCAGCTCTCTCGGCCCTCTGACCACCATTCGACCTGCAGGGATGCTGACCAGCTCGCTTTTCCTGCTGCCATGCGCGGCCTGCCTGGCCCTTCTCACCTGCCGGGCCAACGCAGCACCCATTACTGATGTCAGCACCGACCCCCAAGCCATGGTGAGTCCAAAATCGAAACAAAAATCATTTTTTCAAATCGTTATTTCTGGATTGGTTTGATCAGTAACTTAAAACTTGTTTTTAAGAATTAAATTTTCGCCATCAAAATTTTTTTATAATTTAAATTAAGCATTCAAAGGTAAATCTTGTAATGCAGCGAAAATTTAATGATCTATTTGTCATCTCAAAACTTTGATAACTATTTTATCTGTTTTGGGAAATAAAATGACAGTAATACACAAACCTTCCCTGATAGGCCAGTGGGAATTTCCAAAATATTAAAATATTCGTCAAATTTCAATCTGGTTTTGCTTTGACCTCAATGAGTTGTTTGACTTTTTGGCCAAAAAGGAGTTAAGAAATTAATCTCTTTCCATTCAAGAGTTTTTTTAGCTAATGCGAATTGCACGTGTCTTATCTTATTCCTCCCACCACAATTCGACATAGCTGCCTCTGGTTATCGATTCACATGATAAAATGAACTATATTGGTGCAAGAGATAATTTTTATATTTTTCCTAAGTCCAATGGCTTATGATAAATCAGGATAGCACTCGGTCGTTGAGCAAAATTTTGTGTCACTGTGAAAAAATAGAGAACGAAGGGAGGCGCCCCGGATAACGCAACTTGCTCCATTTTTCCAATTAGCACTTCATGACGAGAGATAAAATTCGCATAGTTCGTCTCTCGTGACGTTTTTATTTAAAGAAACTGCGCGTTTACAATCGAAACAAATTGTAAACAGGGGGCTTGTTTTCTTCTCTAAGAAATATAGAAATAATTAATTTATTGCCAGCGCAATTTATAAATGAAACGCAACAAGTGTGCGTGCTCGGCATTGCAGCTTCCTTTGCGAACATATGCTTGTAAAATGTATCAATCGAGGGGCAAAAAAGCAAATGAGAAAAATGTGCGTATGTGCCCTTCAAAGTTGTGAGTTTCTCACATATGCGGCCAATTGGGACCCATAGCACGAGACGCAGAAAGGGTCGTCGACTTTTTAATTGCCCTCGCCGCTCAGCCAATTCTTCCATAGCAAGAAATGTTTATTTCGGTTGATCGTTCCAGGAAAGTCTTAAAAATTTATTGTCTGTTCTCAGAAGCGAGAGTGAGTCATTTTATTAATAATGGCTAAAATGACTTAGTGGGTGGATTTGCATAAGTTATAATTTGAGATTTGGAGTGAGAGCAGGATGAGATTTGGGTGGCAATGGGAGCTTGACACATATTTTATTGAAAAATGTGTCATGGTGAAAGAGCAATAGCGTGTCATTTTAGGATGGACTGGCATGGTCGACTCGCTGGCAACTGCGGAAAAATCGTAAAAGCTGGTTAGAAAAATCATTCCAAAATTAAAAAAATCTAAATATCCTTGAGTAAATTTTCATCCCATTGAAATTTTTGAAAATTGATACAGCTGCTCTTTTTCATTAATAAACTACTAAAGCATATTGCTCAAAATTATGTACATTTTTTATATAAACAAGTTTAAAAAAAAAATATTAAAACAGAAAGTTTAATACTATTCAAATTTATAGTTTACAAGAGTTGAAGTATTCATATTAGTTTCATTTATTATTTAATTTTTTTTTATTATTATTATAATTATTATTTAAAATGTTTTACATTTTTTAATATATATAAAATGAACACAAAAATAAAATATCATCTACTTTTTGTTATAAAAATTAATTGAAAGTAGAATTGTTGTATTAAAAAAAAAATACAAGTTAAATCAACCTGAAGAAATTGAAATCTTAAGATATTGAAGCTTTTCTCACCTCTTTTTTTGAATATTTTAATGTCTTTTATTTTTCGTAATCTTTTTTTTTCATTTTTTGTGTTAAATACAATCTTTAACAAAAGAAAATAGAACATATCAAACAAAAATCCAAGTTATTTTTTGAATAAATAAAGTTGTACTTGCCAAGTCAAATTTTAAATCTAAATTTTTACTTCCTTGAATTACAATAATGAGTCGAAGGAGGCAACATTCTGGCACAAAACGTGCGAGATTGAGGAATCGAATGTTTGTTTACTTTTTTATTCTCACCTGCAACGTGCTCGTCGTTCGAATGCAGTGCAAAGGAAATAAAACCACGGCGAAGAGATGAGTGAGCAATGCTCGCTGATGCGGCAGCACAGTTTAATTGTAATTCCAAAGGCGCGTTGCTGCGCTTCACTCTTTTATCTTGACCTTCTGCGTACTTCAGGGAAGGCCACTTGACCGGCAGCGATGTAACATATACACACTCCACGCTCGTTTTCGCATCTAATTAATTAATTCGACCCCTCCAAAGCATGGTGTACACACCGCGAAAGTGGTCGACAGCTTTAATCGTCGCCTAATTGTGCAAAATTCGCGCGCACGCCAACACAATGGGCGAAAAACGGCGCGCTGATTTTATCTCGTAAGACTAGGAAGGAACTTTGAATTTAGCATAGTCTTAAGTTATTCTCTCGGCGAAAGGTCGTGTTCACACATGTGCAGAATTTTGCACAAAGTATAGTTATTTGTTATTGTTAATATAAAAAATCCATGTAATTTATTCAACAAATTACATTCAATTTCAAAGGAAACAAATATTTATGCAAACCAATTCAAATATTATTAATTTTCTATTTTAATTTTTATTGATCTAATTTGTTTTTCTCTAAAATTGTGCTGCTTTTTAATCATACTTTTTTTTCAATAAAAACTTTCCTTTTCTTATCTAATAATTTTGCCCATAGGAGGTTGCTGATCTATTGACATTAAAATGATATGCTTTTTGGGTGATAGAGTCATAATTGTATCAATATCAAAAAGCAAAATTTAATAAAGAAATGAATATATTTCATCAAACTGGCTCTTGATGCTTTTACAGAGAAAAACATTTTTAAACAGTTGTTAACTTATTTAATTTTAATTAAAAAATTTCATTTGTTCCCTTGCTAATGCAACCTTTTCTAGAAATTATAGCTTCATGTAGTAATTTTGTGGTGTGTTGACTGTCCTATATATCCCTTTAAGAGCTCTCAGTAATCAAACTGAAGTCTGCAGAGCCTTAATTTTGAAATAAATTACAAACACGTTTTACACGCAGCTGTGTTTGCTTTTGAAATTGCAATTTCAAAAAGCTTGTAACATTTTTAACAAGTAGGAAGTCTATATAAATAAAAAGGAAACAACACCAAGCCGGGCACATTTCAATTAGCAATTCCGATTAAGCATTCCTAGAGAATGGGTGATAAAAGACCAGAACGGCGGCTGATTTTTAATTCAATGTCACTCTTTCGCGCGCGCAGATGATGAAAATCGCATAGACTTGCACAGCCCGGGGCGGCAGTTTGGCAGTCAGCAGATGGCCAAAAGGAAACGCATTGAGAGACGCAATTCGCGTTGTGAATTTTAAAAGCAAACATAAATTAATAAATTTTTTCTCTTTCGATCCGCAAGGGAGCGAACGATTGTAAAACAAGGCACACACGTACGGATTAAAGTGCTTTAACCTTATAACCAGACGTAACCTCTCTCGTTGCTGCCAATATATAAATATACCTCTCTCGTCTTTTTTCCTTTCTTTCTGTTTTGCCTGCTGGCCGCGCATATGTGCAAGATACACACAGCGTCGCGTGAATCATCTTGACGCTATGATATCATTTTGGTAGCACAGTTTTTTGCTCTCAATATCAAAACGCCTCCGCTTCTCTCGCGAGCCGATTTTCTTATTCATGCTGCGGCGATGAGATGAATCATCTCTGACCACTTCCCGCATCACGGAATTATATAAAGGAGAGCATATCGAGATAATTTGCTGGCGGAAAGGACACAACAACTTTGGAAGTCTGGTATAGAGAAAAGGTGATGAGTAATGCTGCGTGACGGTTGAAAACACACACCAAAGCAATGTTTATCTTTTTTGAACACTGATGCTGTGTGCACCAAGCCAATTGTTAAATGTAAAATTGACTTTTTTTACAAAAAGCTATTATTTTTCAAGGTTTTTAACTTTTTTTATAGAATTATTATTTTGCAGAAATTAAGGAAATGAAGAAAAACACACAACATTTTTCACTTTTTATTTGAGAAAATGTAGATTTAGCAAATTTCTTATTTGGTTTACTTGGCCACCTTGAGATATACAGTATTTTGAATTATAAAAATATTAAATTAAAGACTAGAAATTTTCAAAGTTTTGTTATTAATTTAATTATTATATTAATATTATATATTATTATATTAATTATTTAATTGGTCGGAACAAAAAATGCACGATCTTTTTTTACTTAATATTGACCAATTTAATTAGCATAACTTTTCTCGTAATCTTCTATTAGATTTTCATTTTTTCAAGAACGTGTAAAATGGAAATGAAATTTCAAATCTTATAGAAAAAATTTCAAGTGTAAATTACTTATAACTTTATATTTTTCCTCGCATTCAATTTGTATATGGTTTATTTCAAAATGTGAGTGTATCATTTACTTTTGTTTGTGATCGGATCATTAGCAAAATATTAAAAACTTCCGTGCTCACTCTTCATCAGTATGTTAACAATGGAGAGGTGCAGCGACTCCGTCTTGTGTTGCTGAATTAGCCAATCGACCGGCGCGTGCGATTAGATCTGATTTGGAATGTAAATTAATGCGCACGTTCATGCGCTTGTTTTTCTTTCTGCGTGATTCCCTTTCGATTCAAAGTATTTCCTCTTTAATTGTTCGTTTAAAAACAACTCAACCCGCCGGTAATGATGAGTCAAACAATGGCTAATTGGGAAAAATACGAGCTTGAATTATTTTTGACTCGCGAGTAAATGGTTACGGCCGCCGAATTTTTTTACATGCGTTTTATTCACGCCACGCACAGAAATCAGATAAGAATGCGTTGCTGCCGATGGAGCGTGAGTGTAATGGAAAATTCAAGAGTAAAAAAAGTGTATAGAGACAATGAACGTATACATAATCAATAAACTTGCTGGAAGTGAAGAAACCGCTTTTAGCATCTTTTTTTGGCAAAGAATTTATTTTATGTCACGCCGTGAATTTTATTATTGCCCTCCGCAACAACTGCGTCATGATACGCATTGAAACAGCTATTTTATGATTTTCAGCAGGGGGATAAAAATATTTATTGAAGGAGGAAAATTATCTAGAAAATTATATAACTTTATCCTGTAAGACCGGCCAATTGCAAGGAAAATACCAGCTTCTTGCATTGTGTTCAGTTCACTCTGGCAATCGACGCAGAAAATATGTATAATTTATTTTCACTTTAAAATCACATCATTGCAAAACACTGCAGGAAATAATTCTGCAGGAGGAAAACGAATCTGGAAATTTCAAATCAAGCATTTTCCTCGCTGTACTTTAAACATTTTATTTTATATAAATAAAAATATTTGTGTTTCCGGATGATCCACTTTTGATTCATCTCTCCAAGCCCAGCAGAGTAAACTTTGACGAAACTTTAAGTCACAAACGAGAGAGTGATCTTAATCCAGAACTACCTGATTTATTGTTTGCCTTTTCGTGTCGTAGATGAGCGTGTATGCTGTGTACAAATAATGCTCAAGGGAGTGCCCTTCCTTTATCTTATCTGCCGCGCGCACCGTCTGATGGTCTGAGTGTGTGTTTCCTAGATGCCTTATTAAGCAGGAGATGAGAATGCTCATCATCATCGCACCTTGGCCACTGAATAAATAAAAAGAATAAGAAAACACGCTCTCGCACAACACCGTGCAATTACGCAAATGAGATTCCTTGCGCTCTGTTGATTAACATTCATCGCAGTTTAGCACGCGACGAGGTTTAATTCCTATTGTATTTCATGACGGCATTAAATACCAAGTAAATAGTTGTATCCTGAGATCAATTATTCATTTCATTGGGAAAAAATCATTTTAATTATATTTATTTGAAATTCATATAGCAATAATTAATTTCTGACTAAAACATTTAAAATGCAACCAGTGAGAGAGGGAAATTTTTCACGATTTATTTGGTTTGGAATGAAGTATTTGTTTATTTCATGATTTGTGAGGCATAATTGAAATAATCACGTTTATAAGAAAATAAAACTGAAAAAAATAATGTTTTGTATGTTCTATAAAAGTCTTAAAACGGTTCATTATTAGCTTCATATAAAACTTTTAAAAAAATCTTATTAAACCACTAAATATATGTTTGTTTCAATTTGCTTCCAGATGTATTTGAGTCAATTTGGCTACCTCAGTGCAAACCTCAAAAATCCAGGTGCCGGAAACCTGATTACAGAAGATGCCATGGTCAACGCGATAAAAGATTTCCAGTCATTCGCACAAATCAACGTTACAGGCAAGTTTTAGAAGTAACTTATGTGGGCTTTACTTAATAAAAAATAATTTCGATTGCAGGTGAGCTGGATGCAGATACGAAGGCGCTGATGAGCACACCCAGGTGTGGTGTCAAAGACAAAGTGGGCACTGGTAGCAGAGCGAGGAGAAGAAGATACGCATTGCAGGGTTAGTTAATTTTTAATACTTATACGAATTTATTGAATTTAAAACGCAATGTTAAAAAATTACAAAACAATGATCGATTATAAAGTAATTTAGTTTAATGCAATGGGCTATAATTAAAATGGCTTAATATGCAATTATAATATTGGATATATTATAATCATTATTATTATTATTTTTTTTTACGTCAGATGCGTTGACCGTATATTTATGAGATATTTCGCACAGTATACAAATTATGATGAGATGTTTGCAAATTTGAATTTCACGGCAATGGCAATGTCACAAAGGCTGGGAGCAGCGGTGCCACATTTAGCTTCCGGCCCGACACAAAACCCTGCCCAGCAGCCAGGCGCTCAAGCGGCACACACAACCACATCAGGGACATTGTGCGCGTTGTTGAATTTCGCCTTTGCGACGAGAACCGAATGAAATGCTCATCTCTCGTGACCAAAGGGATTACGGGACATAAAAATAAAATTATATAATCATGCGGCCAGAGCGATTTCGAAAATTGTACTCACAACTCTTTTGAAATCGCCTGGGGTCGTTACATTAATGTGCAAGGAAGTTACTATTACTGACGCGGTTTCATTATATAAATAAATTTCTGTGTGCAAAAAATTATCCCGAATCAAAAAAAAATTCTATTTCTATATAAAAAAATTTCTTCCCTAAATATCAAAACTATAAACTTTTTCCCTCCTGAAATTTATTTATTTGCGTTTTTCTACACAAGTGCCTTTTTTCCCGTTTTCATCTAAAAATGAAGTTCGACGTGAGACGTGAGCATCATAAATGAAATAAAATGCATTGAACGCTCTCTGGAATCATCACAATGTCTTTTCATGCAGTGTGCTTGTTGTTTTGCTGCCTTGCAAAGGAGCGACAGTTGGGAAGCGCTTGCAAGCCGAGTAATGATGCAGCACCCATTTTCATTTCCATTATTGGCAATTGCAGCCACCCCCATCCCCAATCCCAATATATCAATCCTAGTAATTCGGAGCGAGGGGGGCAAAGCTCGGCTCACACACGCGCCTTTTATTGCTTCGGGTTGTTTTCTGATTTCTCTGGCAAAAGCTCTCGTTTTTTTCTCTCTCCCTGCTAAAAATTTCTACCCCTAACTCGCCACCCCATCTACCGAAAAGTTGACGAGTTTGGTGGAGAAAAGAGCCACTAGAGGGATAATTGTTTTGTGTTTTCATCACGTTTTCATTTACCGTGGGTCTGATTTTTTCCATTCTTTTTGTTATTAGGAAGCAGGTGGAGAGTCAAGGCCCTTACCTACAGAATTTCTTCTTACCCCAGAAACGTGAAGCGTTCCGAAGTTGACGCCGAGTTGGCCAGAGCTTTTAATGTCTGGTCCGAGTACACCGATCTCACTTTCACCCCAAAAGCAACAGGACAGGTAAAAAAGATAAATAAAATATATATATATATATTTTTTTTTAAATATGTATTTTACATTAATTCCAACTATAAACAATATTATAAAATTATTCTTTTATTATTAAATTTTAGTAAGATAATTGTTTTTATTGAAATTGTTAATTAAAATTTACAATTAATTTCTATTTTGATGAGCGATTTTTTATTTTCTGCATTTTACGGTTTCTATCATTAAATATAATTATAAATTGATATACAAATCATAGTTGTAATAAAACCAATTTATCATTATTAATAATGATTGCAACAGAGGCAGACGAGCTACCATTTCTACCTACAATCATTTTATATCACAAAAAGAGAGAATCTTACAATATATATTTCCAAAAAGCAATTCAGTATTAAATCTGCTTGCTTCTTTCTTTATTCTCAAATTGAAATTTAAATTTTTGGAACAATCCAGGTTCACATTGACGTCAGATTTGCTCGCGGGGAGCATGGTGACGGCGACCCTTTTGATGGCCCCGGCGGCACCCTGGCTCACGCCTACTTCCCTGTTTATGGAGGCGACGCGCATTTCGACGACGCCGAGTCGTGGACTTTCAGAAGTTACCGAGGTTCGCTTAATTTTTATCGCCCTGAGTGCGTGTTACGCTAAATCATTAAAACCTTCTAGGAACGAATCTATTCCAAGTGGCAGCGCACGAGTTCGGACACTCCTTGGGACTGTCCCATTCTGACGTCAGAGCCTCCTTGATGGCCCCTTTTTACAGAGGATATGACTCATCCTTCAGACTGCACGAAGACGACATACAAGCTATCCAGGTACCATTCATTACTCATTATAATTTCCTACAAGCCTCTCTGTTATAAAAAATTTTTAATTGCAGAGCTTATATGGCACTGGCAAAACCAAGAACAAGCGGCCTTCCAATAATTCACCTCAAGTAACTGAAACTCCCGAGAAGTCGATGCCCAACGATCCCGAGCTTTGCAAGACGGGGGTAAAATTTGATGCCATATTCACCGACTCAGGCAACACCTACTTATTTAAAGGTATTATATTTAATATTTAAAAATAATTTTGTTTTAGCATAAAAAAAAATCATTCAAATAAAAGTCAGTGCCATAATATTGATCAAACTTGATATAAAAAGATTAAAAATACAATAATGAAACTCATCAATAAAATTTTTAAATTATACCAAATTGAGTGCAACTGAACTAAAAATTTTAAATTTATAATTTTTGGAAATATGTAAAATATTTTTCTTGAATTTTAGGAGATAACTACTGGAAGCTCACTGAAGACGGAGTTGCAGTTGGCTACCCCAAACCCATTTCTTCAGCATGGGCAGGCCTTCCCGGAAATATTGACGCTGCCTTTACTTACAACAAAAACGGCAGAACGTATTTCTTCAAGGTAAACAACATATTTTCCAATCCGTTATTTTGCAGAGAAGCAACGCACTATAATTGAATTAGTCTCAATCGCTAATGCTTTCTCAGAATCGTTGCAATTAAAAAAACAATAATAGAATGGCACCTGAATAGTTAACTCATTTTCTTTCAGGGCTCGCAATATTACCGGTTTTCCGGACAAACCATGGACGATGGCTATCCCAAGATGATAACTGACGGATTCCAGGGCATTCCTTCCAACATTGACGCAGCTTTTGTTTGGAGCGGAAATGGAAAAATTTATTTCTTCAAAGGCAAGCATCACGCAATTAGCACATCAATTGTTAAATAAAATTTATTTCCCCAACAGACACACAATTCTACAGATTTGATCCATCGGCAAAGCCTCCTGTTAAATCAAACTACCCCAAATTGATTTCGAACTGGGCTGGAATCCCAGACAATCTTGACTCGGCATTGCAGTACACCAATGGCTACACATACTTCTTCAAAAATGGACAGTACTACAGATTTAATGACAGAACGTTTGCTGTAAGAGCACCAAAAATTTATATTGAAAATATTAAAATTTATTTTATTCAGGTTGATTCAGCAGACCCAGCTTTCCCTCGAGCGGTTGGTCCTTGGTGGTTTGGATGCAATTCAATGAATGGCAGGGGAGGAAATCAAAGGCAACACCCCCTGATGAATCCTGGACCTCAGGGAGGGGACGATATTGTAGACGCAGGTGATTATCCTTTTCACTTTGGTCCCCGTGATTTCATGCCTTACGATTACCATTTTTACTATTGAGTTTTTCGCAAGATGAACCGAGCATTTCCAGAGTGCTATTTTAGCGTGTAATGATTTAATGAAGGGGCCTAAGGTTTACATTATAAATGTTTTAAGACATATCCTTTATTGTTTAATTAATTTTTAATTTCACTCATGAGATTTAATTTTGAATTTTTCAGAAACAGCTCGACATTATTCATAACGCAATGTAAAACTTAGGCTTCTTTTGTATGTATCTGAATTTCCCTTTTCTCATAAAAAAATCCTTAATCTTTCCACTTTCTGAAAAGCACAAAAATTTAGCTCACAATTAGCACTGAAAGCAGCATGGTAGAAAAAATAGATAAAGCAACTACTGCAAATTTTCCTACACGCACCAAATTACTGAACCTTCTTTTTAATTTTGGCACTTATATACCAACCAACCAACTAGTCCAAAAACCGTACAATTAGTGGCTGTGCATCTTTGACCAAAACTTTCTTTATCACTCTGAAATTTTCTTTCACTCTCAATTGAAAAGGTGTTATGGATCTATTTGAAATTTTCTACTGCAATCTACTACAGTTTTCAAAGTTTTGCATGTTCCTTTTTCCTTCTGCTCAAAAATATTGTGGATAAAACTTGTTGACCGTATATTTATTTAGTTTTTAATAAACCTGATTAAAGTGTAACATCATTTTGTGATAATTTTGTAAGCTAAAAACGATTCAATAAAGATGCAGTTGTAAAATTTAAAAAGATTGGAATAAATAAAGACAAATTGGAAGATCCTTTAAAACACCTATCTATAGTTTTAGTTTATTTTAGCGCGTTTAGGTTAGAGAATGCTGCTTTTAGGCAACCTGCTACGGAAGAGCGTCGTGCAAGTTGCATAACTTTTTTGTCGTGCGCGTTTTTTCAAGAGCTTGGCATTTCGCTGGCCATTGCGCTCTACAATCTACAATAAGAAAAAAATCACTATGAGAAAAATGATTTTTTTTTTAATTTTAGTAAACTAATATAAAATACATTAAAAAAATTCATTTCTGGATTGATAACTTTGCTCTGATTTTAACATTGCAATTTTGTTCACATGAATCTTAACTTAACAAAAGCACAATTGCATGTGATTAGTTCGATAAGTGACGCACTTTTTCTCCTTTTTCTGTTGCACAATTTAGAGGACTTCCAAAACGGACGAACTCAGAAAAAAGGGCCGCAGCAGGACAACGCGCCTGTGAACGAAACATCGCCTCATGTTGAGCTCATCGGGACGGAGACGTCTGCGTCACATTTGGTTGGTTCGGCGGCGTCGCTGTCCCACAGCGTCCTGCTCTGCGCCGTCAGCATTTTTTTGGCAGCCCTCAACTTCGCCTGAGGACTTCGAAGACAGTGCGGTGCGCCCTCGCAAGAACTGAAACGGAACTGCGTCCGGGCGGTCCCGAAAAGAAGAATAGAAGTCACTAACGTGTAAGTGCTGAGAGAGCTGTATGGAAAAGCTACAAACTGAAGTTTTGTCTGTGTGTGATTTTTACTTAAGAAGAATAAGCAGGAAGCTGACCAAAGCGTTTAATCGACAGGCTTTGTAATTAGTATAAATAATTTTTAGCAAGTGTGCCAAACACTTTTGTACATTTCTGTGTAAGCTTATGTAGATTTTTAATAAAGAAAAAGATTTTTACAATAATAATTTTTTAAACCGTTTTTTGTATTATTTAAAAGCTAAATTTCAATCTGCATCTATGTTTTGTCGTTTCAATAATTTTATCAACACTTTGGAAAATAAATTTTCAGAAACTACAATTTATCTATTAAAGTTACAATTTTGTTTTGAACTCTTTTGTAAAAAGTATTTTAAAATGTTTATAACTTTCAAATATTAATAATAATGTTTTATAATTTTTTGCAATAACAACAAGCCATTTAATGTCAATTGGAGTTTGTATTTATTTTTTTCTGTTATATCAGTTGCAAAGTTTATTTAGAGGGCAAAACAATGGGTTGGCTAGTTTCCAAATAAGCTTCAATAATATGCTCAGATAATTGTTAGTGTGCGTGTGTTTTTAAAAAATTCAATAATATGGCTGTCATTGCTGATAATTATCCTTCTGGGCACAGTCAGAGTTAAAAATTACCCTTTCTGAACTCAACATAACCCTGACCTTTCTACTTAGATATTTTCATTGGAAATCCCAGTTATCATTGGCTTAATGATAAAAGGCGCACATCTTTCCTGGTTGGTCATTTGTGAATTTGAAGTGTTCATTTATTGTAAAGATAAATAAATAATAATAATGTTTTATAATTTTTTGCAATAACAACAAGCCATTTAATGTAAATTGGAGTTTGTATTTTATTTTTCTCTGTTATATCAGTTGCAAAGTTTATTTAGAGGGCAAAACAATGTTTTAGCTAGTTTCCAAATAAGCTTCAATAATATGGCTGTCATTGCTGATAATTATCCTTCTGGGCACAGTCCGAGTTAAAAATTACCCTTTCTGACCTCAACATAACCCTGACCTTTCTACTTAGATATTTTCATTGGAAATCCCAGTTATCATTGGCTTAATGATAAAAGGCGCACATCTTTCCTGGTTGGTCATTTGTGAATTTGAAGTGTTCATTTATTGTAAAGATGCAGAAGAAGAAAGAAAGAACGATGGGACGCTTGTTATGTTTTTTGTTCCTCCTGGCAGTCCTGGCCTCCACCTTAGCAAACGAGACACAGCAAATTGACACACCGACTATGGTAACAAAACGCTCAAATCGACCATGCCAAATAATTTTCACATTTCTCCCAATTCAATAAAATATAGGGTGTCAGCTAGTTACACGTACAATTTAAATTTTTTTTAAAACATTCAAACATATTGTCAATTCTATTATGAATCAAATATTCTCTGGCGTTTTTTTAGACACATATTTAAAAAAAAGTATATTTATCAAGCAATAAACTTAACTTCTCTTACATTAAATTTGAGATCAGATGATATTTTAGCTGCACTTAAAGTATTGAACAATAATTTGCATTTTTTAAATATGAGAGCACAAAAATTGTATGCTTCTGGAAGTTAGCTTTATTTAATATATAAGTTTATAAATTATAACTCATTATGTATAAATAAAATATAAACTATCATTTATATTGTGGGACAGAGATTTCCTCCCGAGCTAACCATGTTATTAGCTGGAAAGGACATCTCTGTAGGTAAATGTCCCGCAATATAAATTATTAGTTTAAAATTAACCCAAATTTTGCATGTGTTAAGATTGGTTACCAATTCATTTGAAACATTTTCAAGAACCAACAGACATCAGTGGAGGAGGTGACAGAATTAAACCCAGCGCTGGCAGAAAAGCCTGAAAATTTGAAACTGAGCTTGTTGGCAAAACTTGTATATGAACAGGTGAAGTTTTATTTGAGCGTTCCAAATATGTCTCCATGAGGAAACATATTTGCCCCAATTCTGTGAAACTGAAATAAGCATGGCAATAGAGTCAATTGTGATTAATTATGAATAAATTATAACTGAAAGAAATCATAGAAAAATATAAACCATCATCTGTGAAATTTAAATATTAAAAATACCGTTAATAAAATCTTTAAGCTTTGTATTTATGGTATACCAGGTCCTGGAGGAAGAAAAGCTCGCTGAAAAAGAGAAGGAGGAAAGGATTCAAAATTTTCATGAAATAAAACGGAAGTTAAACGATTTGGAAAGATTCTCTGAGGAAGGACACTTGAAAGCAGTAATATATTTCAAACATTCTACATAAAATATATAATCCAGCTAGATATTAAAAAATTAGATTATAATCACATTCTAATTAATAATTCCAGCTATATTCTGATTGTATTTTACCATTTTGTAAATAAATTTGTGATCACTTTCTAGATGGAGCAAAATAATAAGAAGCTGGTGAACCAAGGCAATATGACGAATCAGAAGTTGACAGATTTGATCAAAATCATTGAAATAAGCCACCGACAGGTTAACGCTGATAAATTTATCATTCATAGAACTTAAATGAGATTAATTTTGATGGTTAAAGGGTGATATATTTATGAACAAATAGTTTTAGGTAAAATAATGATATTTTCATAACGGCACAAGTTTCTCCACCGTGATGATTGACAATAAATTTTGACAACTTTTAAAAACGTTCCCTAATTACTTTCATATTTTTCTTGTTAGACTCTTGCACAAAATGAGAAGGTGGCAAAAGATAATCGGGTACTCATGGTGGATAGTTTGAACATAACAATCCACAAGAGTGTGGCAAGTCTCACCAAAGAACACAAGCAGGTATAAGAATCTACAATTAAATTTTGCTATAGATCATCAGCATACAAAGATTTTTCATTTAGTGAATATTTTAATGACAATATGTGTCTCCTTACACCACAGATTTTTGAAAAATTGGAGCAGGTTGAAAATAATTTAAAGGATGTTGCTCAAAAGATGGACGAAATTGCAAAACTCACAATCAGTGAAAACCGCACAAAGGTTCAAACCAAATTTAATCATATGATTTTTTCAAAAAATAACCATTATATTTCCAGGTCACAAAATCAAATTGTGATCGAGCTCGTAAGTGTAATTTTGATTTTTGATACAATTAAAAAAAACTTTCATTTCCATGCATGCCATATTATATTGATAATAAAATTTTCAGGTTTAGCAAACTTGCAGAATCTGCCCAATGGCAAAAAATACTTCTTTCATCATACTTCTGTAAGTCAATGCATATTTTTGCTCTCGGTTTTTAAACAGACCATTTTCTCTTTATATAGTTTGACTGGTTCCGGGCCCATGATACTTGCAACAATATGGGCCTTCGCTTGGCAACCCTCAAAAATCAAGAAGACATTGAAGAGGTTTTCAATGCAGGGCGGAATATTGATAAATGTGAGGCAATATTGAAGTTACATTAATCCCTTAAAAATGCATATTTCAATTAAGAATTTCCTATTTTATAATTTTAATTAAGTCTAATTTGAATACAATTTTTATTTACTTTAAAAATTTATCCCAGGGTCCATTTGGTGGTTGTCTGCAAAAAACCAAGGATTTGGGGATCAAATGGACTATCGTTGGCACGATCAGACCATACTAGATATTGACAGCTCACTTTGGTACAGCTATGCCAATAAGAGAAGTGACTGCGTTCATTTAACTCATAGTGACAACGGAAAATTGAACAGCCTGTCATGTTCCATGGAACGGTCTTTTGTCTGCGAATTGCCAACTGAATGCTATTGAACGACTTTCAGGCTAAGTTTGTATGAAGGATCCAATCAAATTAATTTTATTCACCTAATGATTGTTCAGACCACGTTGAACAAAAGAAAAAAAATCCTAAGTTTTGAGAAATTTTGATTGAAACATGAAATATTATTTGCAAAGTTGGGTTTCAATGCAAATATTTGTCCATGCAATTTTTCGTTTGTTTTTTTAATATCTTACTTTTTGTCTGGGTGGTTTTGTAAGTTTTGGTAAATTTTTACAAATTTTCAGCCTTTAATTGCACGGGCCGGGTTGATGATTTTTGCCGTTTGCGAATGATTGATAATCAATCCAAAAAGGGATCATGTCATTTTGTCATTCCTTATCTTTCTACATATGTAAGAAATTAACCAAAATAAAATACGTCGCTTTTAAAATAAATTTTGGATTTCTGTTTTAAGTTATAATTATTGACGTATAATGTATAAAAAGTAAATCTATCAAATTGTTAAACCTGCATGCAACAAATTCTTCCTGCAATGCTCAACTAAAGAATGCAGCGACGATCTTTGGTGCGGCCGAGCAGGTCTTTCATCTGCGGCGGGCGGCGGCGACTTTTACACACAAAAGGAGAAAAAGAGTTGTAGGTTCAAATTCGGATTTATTGTGGCGCCTCGCGTACTTTGGACCAGTTTCATTCCACGCAGCATTTGACATTATAAAAAGATCTGCCCTTGGGGGCCGCGCGGGCAGGCCGGCGGGAAGGCGCGCGCAGCGTTAATGGCTGCAGGACCACTTTAAAATGAATATGAATTAGTGACGTCATTGGCCATTTAAGTGTGTCTACCTTGTTGTTGTGTGTCGTTAATGTAATATCCATGTCTGCTGCCCTGCCCCCCGTCCTCCCCCAATAAAATTAAGTAAGAATGATTCCGCCGCAGACAGGCCGAGAAGAGTGAGTGCAGCACCGGCCGGCGAAAGAACACCGCGGCATCGAGCGCGCGGTAAAGTGCTTTTAAATAAATTGTGTGCGACTTTAAATGTGAAAATAATAATTCAACCTTTGGCTAGCCGCGAATAAGAGTGTGTGTGTGTGTGTGTGTGTGTGCTCGTCCCTCTCATGCATATATAAAGAGAGGAGACGATGCTGCTTAAACTTATAAATAAATGCCTCTTTTTCTTCTTTTCTTTCTTCTCTTTATTCGAGAGAGAGGAAATCGATGCGAAAAGCCGCGACTCTTTCTTGGTCGCTCGTTTTCTTTCGGGCGGCAACACCTTTGAAATTTTAATTTTTACCTCTCTTCTGCCGAGCCTTTTATATACTGCGGCTAATTAGGTGCGCCCGGACAAATGGATTCAAGTCGAGAACACGAGTGAAGCTAATGGCCCAGTCATTTATTAGGAAGATTTTTGCAAAGTTTTTTTCCACACTAATTCGCAATTAAGAATTCACTCCGAGTGAAATTAAAGTGCACTGGAAAACTGAATCGGTGTGATACATTGGTGTTATGACTGTTAAGAAAATTTATTTTTATTGCAACAAGCTGGCGAGAAGTGAAAAAAAGTTGCAAATTTATTGGTGCAACCACCAGACAATCTCTGCCCATAAATAATATATACACAGTAAAGGAGTTCTGCATTAAAATTGGGAAAAATAAATATTTCCCAATTGCCTAGAAAAATAAAGCCTCTTGGAAACCTTGAAATTAAAATTTAACAAGAACTAATGATTAATATAATTTTAATTAACTTGGAATTTCGTTTAAATGGTAATTATTGTATTATTTTTGTAATGAATGAATTATCACCTTTCAGTTAGGATTGATTGTAAGTTATAACGTCAGAATAAATTAATGAATAATTAAAGGATATTGGATGATTTTTGTGGTCAACATTTTAAATGCTATGTTTCTATGTAGAAAGAATAGATTAGGATTATAATTAATTTTCTGTTTGAGCTCATCTTAATTTAATATCTTATAATATATTGTACGGTTAAACTAAATTATATCTTCATCTTTTTTATAGCTTAACATCATAATTTAACAACTTACTTTTTGGTTTTATGATATTTTATTTTGTTAGTGAAATAAAATAGCTATTATAATTATTATAACTTACAGGTATAAAATGGCATCAATTGATTGAAAATTGTTAATATTGTTCATTTGTATACAAATTATTATACAGTTACATTGTTTACATTTTATTTTTGTCAGCGATTAATTTAAAAAATGAATTGTTGGACAAAACGGCACCACCACTAGCATAAGTATATTTTGATAAAACTTCCGAGTTCCGAGACAAAAACCCATCCGCCACAATGAGCCTCGGTTGACTAAGTTTTAGTTGTTATCAAGGTAGGTCTTGCAGAGGGTGGGAAACTGTTCTGATAATGAACAGCAAAAATTAGAATTAATGTTTCTGAAGCATTCATTTGCATAAATTAATTTTTTCTGTAAACCATTAAGCAAATTTAAATAATGATATTTTGAAATTCTGATCAACTTGACTTGTTTTATTTGCCGTGATTTCCTTTGTGTTGCACCAATAAATATTATTTGCAAAACTAAATACTTAATATCATTTCCTCTTTGTGCACAGAGCGGGAAAAAGGAGATGAAAACAATAATAAGATTAAAACTACCCTGGTGTGCATCCTTGAAGAGATGAATCGCTGTTAAATTTTTAAAAATAAAAAAAAAAAAAATCCTTATATCTTTCTTTGCTTAAGATAATATCAAATGGAAAGAAATCTTTCAGCTACAAAATTGAGAGCGAGTTTCCAAAATAAAGTTAAACTAAGCAGCTCCGTGAGCGCCTCTGTTTTCCATCATCAAATGACGTCAAAAATTCAGTGGCTGCACAGGAGCTTGCATACAACTACGCACATATTTAAATTTAAAAAGTATCAAGCGCGCACACATGTACATATAATAGCGCAATACGACGAGCAGCGAGTCTCTGCTATATAGGCTGAGTGCGCGCGAGAGACGGACGGTCCAGCAGCCTTAGAAAAGAAACATACCAAGCCACATTTTCTATAATGGATCTCTTGAGTGGCTTTTTAATGGGCCTGAAACCATCTGCCACTAATAGTTGGTGAGCAATGCACATCTTTTCTCGGGGTTGTCAAGTGCAACCCGCCGACCGGCCGGCCGCCGCGACTCCACATTCAATTTGGGTTCCCAGACCCCGCATGCGTTTCTTCACTAGTTTCCCTGTGAGCAAGAGAAACTTTTTCTTGGGGGCTACTTTTTTGGGGGAAGGGGTTTTGGTTTTCTTACTAAGTGAATTACGTGCTTGAAGTGTCTCTTGAGGGATTACTGACCTCAAAAAGATAATTTCATAAAATAACAAATTGCGACAAAAATTTATCCAAAACCCTTTAATTTGTTTTGATTAATTTCTTATGAGTAAAAAAAATTTGGAACAAAAAAACTAATTACTATTTGAAAAAGTATATCTATTTTAAAATTTAGAGAGGGATAAACAATACAAAAAAAACATGATAATTGTGATTTTGCTATGTGATATTACTTCAATTTATATTGAATAATATGACAGTTAATACAATATAGTTGTACTATTCAAAGCATTGGAACGTCATAAATTTTCTTGGTGCTTACCGGATGTATCTTTCCCAACCTCGCAGGGTCTCTTGGGAGACTTTTTTACCTACATCAATCTTATTTTAATGTTTTGTGCTAATTTAATGATTTCAATACAAACTTAATTTTGGCAGATTTTTTCAATCGCGTTTAGGTGCAATTTTATACTTTGCCAGCGCACCACGTTGTACTTTGTAAAATTAACGTGAAACAGCTTTGTCTAAAGCAACATTTCAAATAGCCCAAATGATAAAGCGCACAGAATATTTAAATACTAATCTATCTTCTGAAAACGATAAAGGTACCTTGACCGTTCCTGCGAGTTAATTGTGCACTTATTTGCGATGTTTGTTTTTAAATATATAATTGTTGCATCAAATGCATCATACACAGATTGCTAAATTCTTATAAAAAAATTTTTTAATCCAGCAAATCAAAATAGTTAAAACCACTTTAATAATTAATGTTTTGGATGAAAACAAATTCAAAATGTGGTTTACGCAAGATAAATTGATATAATTGAGTGGAACAATAATTACTGGGAATTTTTAATTTATATCCACGAATGAAAATAATAAGCCATAATCCATATAATAGTAATGCTTAATGCATAAAAGTTAAATGATTAATTACTTAATATTTTGCCAGGACAATTAAATAGGGAATCATTTATTGTCTTGTGCCTATCTGTTTTGATAAAATCTTCGTAATACTCTGAATTTATAAACTCTTGTTCATAGTTAATTTCACTAATTTAAAAATGGTGTACTATAAAAGTTACTAAATTTTTGTCCTCGGCAAAGATAATAAATTTCGATAAGTGTTTTTGCCCTTCAGAAAATTCTTTTGTTCAGGGGCGATTTAGGCAATTTACTGACAGATATGACCAACGGAAAGCCTACTTTACAGAACTTCAACAATTTTCTGTCCCTATAACATTTAAAGTTTAATCGATTTGTGATTAAGAAAAACTGTTTTAATTAAAGAAGTTTTATCACCACAGTTATTTTGGAGTAAAGATTAAAAAAGATTTAATACAAATAATATTATTTAATTTGGCGCAGCGAACAGAATCCCAAATATTAAATTTATTATACATAGTTAATCAAAAATCAAACATTAATGAAACACATCACGTTCTGACCCTTCGTCACACGCACTGTTCTAAATTATTTGTCAATTTATAATATCTAATGGATTCCTCATCATTATCAAAATAAATTTTAATTTAATTTAAAATAAACTACCCAACATTTTTGTATGTAAATAACCATTGACAACTGTAAACATAAACATGCTTTATTTCTATTATTATGAGAACAAAAAAATACAAAATAAAATTACTTTACAATATACAAGCAATTTTGATGTAAATTGAAATAATATTACTTTAATGTAACAAAATATTTATATTAACTAAAGTAAATTATACTGTACTATAAATTAAGCAGTATAATAATAACAAATAAACCTTCTTTAATCTCAAATTAACTCATTCCAAATTGTCAAGGTTGTGTTGCCTGGAATGCGCCTAGACACAAAAGAGGCAATGAAACGACCCTAGTAAAAAACACTAGACGCCGGCGAGCGGAGTGTCGCCTCGATTGCGCAAAGAAAGGCGAGAGTTGGAAAACAAACGTCAGGTCGCGTCTTTTACCTGGCGCGGCTCCTTCGGAAAAGTCCGACCGTCCGTCTGTCGGTCTGTCGGTCGGACGGGAATAATATTTTTTTTAAATTTCCTTTCCCCGCCTCCCCGCGCGCTCTGATATCAAGCGCAATTCGAAATTCGCCTTCGGTGGTTAATGGGAGGTATTCGATCGCACCTACCCGTCCAATCGTATCTCGCAGAGGCGGTGCCTTTGGCGCGGGGCCGCTCGCTGCGTCTCGCGGCACCACTTCTCGCCGCTCGCCCGCAGAGTCTCCGCGACCAAACTCCAGACCTCCGCCACGCTGCATGACTGCTCTCGGCTCCCGAAAACACCTACGCACCGGTAAGTCATCTAATCGCGAAAATCTCGATCGACCGATAACCCTTTTACTTCGGCAGACGATGCAATCAGCGCAAAAAGCGTCGTGTTGAATGGAAGGGGTAGTATCCAAGTTGCCTTTATGTAGTAATTATAATTAATAATTAATAATGAATTAATTGCAAGTTTCCCTGTTTATTACTTTTTTTTCATTCTAAATTTTCTGTAGCAATATGTTAACAACACAATCATTCAAAAAATTTTCTTTAGAAAATATGAAGAAAAATTAAGAGTCTATAAATATTTAATCGAGAAAACGGCATTAAATTTATTTTTAATTTTATTCAACTTACAATAAGTAGAAACTTTGACACCATATTTTTCTACTTTGGTCTACTTTAAAATTTTTCTGCGGAATTAATTTCTATTAATACGTCATATATTAAGTTATAATGAGACTTCGGCAACATAGAAAAACATTTTGGATATCCAAAACTTTTGGAAATCGAATGTGTTTAAATAAAATTAACATATAATTTCTGATTTTGAAATTTCTTTATTCACAAATATTTAAAATTGTTGTGCATGCAGGATCTCCTAAAGAATATGAATCCTTTGTCGATTTGAACAGATATTTTATGACAAGTAAGTCATCCTCATTTAAATTCAAATTTTCAAACGTTTCACGTTTCTTATTTCTTCAATTTACCCATAATAGATTTACCGCCCTCCTTTTCACTTTAGAAAAACCATTTAATTAATAATTTAATTTTATTATTTGGTAACATTTATTTTATTTGGACTTCCAAAAATAATTCAAAATTAATTGTATTTTTTAAAAGTTTTGATGAGCTAAGTATAGAAAGGGAGGATTTTAAAATCTAAAGTGCTTAATAACTGACATAATATCACACAAAAAACTAACAAAAAATTTAATGAATAGCGATACGGAGTTAAGAGTTTAATTTTTTTATCATTTTGGGTTCAACTTTATTTGGCAGCTGCCTTGCTGCGGTTTAAAAATTATAATTTTAAGGTATTCAAGAGAGAGTGGTTTTATAATTATTTAATTCGTTGTTACTGAAATTTGCAAGGGATGAATATTAAGATTATTTAGTACTTGCAGTATACTTTTTTCACTGGAATAAAGTTATAGGCCAACAAAACGTACGGCGTGTGGCAAAATCTTGCCTTCTTTACTATATCCTTTTAAAACAATCTATACAGAATTGATTTTAAAAATTTATGTAACTTCCAATGGACAAAATTGAAGCCGCACAGTAAAAAAACTGCACAATAATTGCAACTTTTAAGTTGGGGTAGTTTTTTCAGCAGAATGATAAAGTTGAAAACAACTTGATACTTGTGCGCACAACTGCATATCACATAATGTATTTAGTATCATACTTAAGATAAAGCAAATGTTTAGACTTTCCCTTTTGTAAACTTTATTATATCTGCCGCGTACAAATGTAATTTAAGCTCTCGGCGGAATATAAATTAGAGCTTTACATCGGTTTTAGTGATCATAAATTCGAGTAAACGCTCTGAGTACTGCAGAATGCGACCGCGAGAGCATTCGACTTTCAATTCAAAACCAATAAATTAACGCGCGAAATGACTCCATGCATATGTGCGGTTGATTGCACTCAAATACCGCAGAGATGGAAAATTAATATAAAAATGCGAAAGTTGAAAAAGGAATATATGTAACAGATTCAGGGAATCTATGATTGTGTCAGAATGATTGTTACATAAAAATAAGCCAGCCAGATTCAATTTAAATATCTCAATTTAACTATAATGTCGTTGTTGTATACTTTAAAAGTTTATAATTTAACAAACATTTATGTTATAACTTTAATAAAATGATTAAATTTATTTAGAATAAAATATATTTTAATTTTTATTATATATTAAATGCATTAATAAAATAATTACCTTGAATTTAAATTTAAAAATTAGTATTATAATGTAAATTCAAAAGAAAAAAATTGTTTTATATACATTTTTAGATGCTTTTCTTCTCTTACATCATTCCTGCCTTTAACTGTGAAGTTTATATCATTAGATGATCATTGATGATGTTTGACTGAACGATTATTATAGCATTATTACTCCGATTTTCACAAAATCTTTCTATAGTTTAAAAGCTATAATGTTAGTTAATATTGATTAAAAAACGCATATAGTTATGCACTTATGCTTTCGCACATGCATGTTATATTTTTAGCACAACACGCACAATTGCAGAAGATTTGACGCGTTGCATTCGAAAGTGCAGATTGCATTTTACTCTATTAAGGAACAAATCACGCCGATCGCGAGCATATAGAAAAAACACGCGCATTATAAGTTTTTATATCCAGCGTGGAATTACAGTCTTTTCGCGCGCGCGTTAAATGATAACACTATCCTCACAACGGGCGATACATCAGGGAACTATAACTTATTGCATGCCCCTATCACTCCGAGTCAACCAGTATATAAATTAATAAGGCGGTGATAAGACAGGCAAATGAATTCAGCACGTCATGGGGGCGAACGATCAGAGCCATAACGCACTACAAACGTTTTTGTTCATATTCCCTGCGCCGCGCTTTTATGACAATAGTACGTAGGGAGAAGATTGCAAAAAAATTATCAAAACAGACTTCATTAAAATTTGATTCAAAGGGATTTTGTCAAGAATTTATAAATCAGTTTTTGATGATAATTTTCTGATTGATAGTTATAGAGAAATGTATTTTGTTAAAAATGGGATGGGGTAAAAAAATGCATTTTTCTTGAATTTGTGAAGCATTTTGTAAATTTTGAGAGGCATATAATGAATTGAATAAAGTATATCAAAATTCCAAAAACCTCCGAATTTTTAGATTTATTGTAATAATTTTGCCTTTAATTCAAATAAAGCAATTAAGTTCTTGATTTAAAAAAACATCCTGTGTTAAAATTTCTGAGTTTCTGCATGAAATACATTTGACTTTGTTAGAGCGAGCAAGCTAAAAGGCCTATTTATTTTAGAGGAACTGTTGCCAGCAAAGGCGCACTGATAGTGACCTGAAAAATGATAAAACATGCACTCATTCAATTCTCCTCGCGGAACTGCTGTTTGAATTTAGTCCGCCTATTTTGATAACTCGTATCTCTCACCTTTGTTGCTTTCGAGGCGATTTCTCCCCTTTATTTTATAAGCTTCCTACTGTTTTCTTTTTCTTAAATAGTATTAGCACTATAGCGGAAATGAAATTTTAAAGGCAGAAAATCAATAAGATTTTAAGATTTTCTTTGCTCAAAGATATTTCTTTTTGCACATAGACTTAATTTTAATTTTTTTAGTATATATTATATATTCAAAGGCATATTAAGAGTGAAATTAAAGAATATATAGTTCGGCAGAGGAAATACCATATCGATCGAGAAATTTGTGCAAACTAATTATTTCATACAGATTCAAACTAGATTAACTTAATTAAATCAACCATAGATTGAATCTGGTTTGAATGTATAGATTCAGAAAAAAAACTATAAAATCTATGTAAAGTATAAAATGCTTCTTCAAAAAGTTTCTATACCATTTTATGAACTGTCTTTACAGATTCTTAGCACATTATTATCCTGCGAAAATTTGCCAAAGTATTTCACCTGCGGTTGTGAAGTGTTAAAAAATTCCAATTTTGAGGTTTTTTTTTTAACCACAAAGAGACCAATTTCTTATCGATTACTATAAATAACATATTTTTTTTTAATTAATTCCCCCCCCCCCCCCTAAAATACATAAATAACGAAAGTGTAAATAGTAAGAGAAAAAGTTAAGAAAACTTAAATTTGGATTTATTCGAGTTACATCTACACAATTAACAATGTGATTTTAGATCGCACTCTTGACATTTCCACGCAGACTCGACGCAGCATATTTTCCGCATCCATGCTGGAAATGCAAATCGGAGAACAAAGCTCGAGCAGCATTTATTTAACTGGTGGGGAAAAACGGCACGAATGAGAATTCATTATGCTCGTCGTGCAGCGCCATTTAAAAATAGAGCTCGGAAAACACAAGTCGTACACACACACACACACACACGCCGAGAGGGCCGTAAATAATATATCAAAGAATTTATTTATCGCGGTGGTGATAAGAGTGAGCTCGCTGCTCCATGCTGATATACTCGCCGCGCGCATAAATATAAATACCAAATAATATAATAATGCATTCTCTCGTGTTTTATTCTGCCCTCTGCAGCGCGACTGTTATTATTCCGAGCGCACGCAATCAAACACACACGGAGAGCATTATTTTCCGACATAAATTTTACAAACTCGCCGCGAACTAGCGTTTCCCGGAGCCCAGTATATAAATATTCATAGTGCGCCGACAGAGAGAGAAATATGACACGCGGTCCTCTATTGCGGCACCGCAGATAATTCCCTTGTTCTGACAAACCAAGATAAGCCTTTGCTCAATTTTCTCTCTTATTTATTCGCCCTTTCATGCGCTTTGCCATCAAAGCAAACGCGATCGTGAAACAAGAGCTATTCAACCTTTTGAAACCGCCTTCACTTTATTCCATATTTTTTTTTTCAAATAAAATAATTAAAATTTGAGATTGCCATAATACAGAATAAAATATAATTCTTTAAGGCTGAAATATAATGGTAAATTCCTCTTACAGAATTGGATCCCTCGATTATAATTAGCCTTATACAATCTTTTTGGTCTTAAAATTTAAAACTAATATATATAATATATCCTCTTTAAAAAAGATTATTTTAGCAATTTATTAAAGCAATATTTACTAAACAAATAATTTTTTAAATGTATTTTAATTAATAATTATTTTAATCATTACAATATACTTCATTGATAAACTTATTTTTCAAGCATATAATACATATTTATGCAATCAAATTATATAATTTTCCAGCAATATTTATTTAAAGTTTTCGCATTATACAGTTCAATTCATATTAAGTCACCGCTTGTGATTTAACACTGTAGAAGCATAATTCCATAATGACAAACT